AAAGTTGCCCGGCTTTTAGTGTAAACTGGCTTTGGCTGTTCGCATTTCTGTACACATACACGCTTTTTTCTTGCAGAAAACGCGCGCAAAACGTCACCAAAACGCTTAAAATGGTTTTTTGTTGTTTTGTTTTTGCCCGTTTTGTCTGATAATTATGAGCAGCTCGCAGTGCCACGCCCCGCTGCCTGCCTCCTGCTGTCCGCTTTGTAAATACACCCAGTACCCAGTAACCATTCCATCCAATTTGCTGTTTACTCGCCGTCTGCGCGCGTTTTTATGAATGAAATCCAGCAACAAAGAAGAGGAGCATTCGTCGTTGCTTATTTATAGTTAATTTATTTTTTTACCCCGCCATCGCTGGTGTTTTTTTCTCTCTGCGTCTTGTTTTGATATTATTGTAAACAAATTGCGCCTTTGGGCACGTAATTAGCACACTTACACGATCGGAAAAGCCGCCAGTTGCCCCCGGGGAAGTGGGAAATTGGAACGTGTTCATCAATAACTGTAACAAGGTCTCTTTCTCTATCTATTTTCTTGGCCAACAAAAGCGGAAGTGTTCCAGGCCACATTTCCGCCTGGCCAGCGACGGAGAAGTGCCTTTTTTTTCTCGAAAAGTGGCACAAAGCTTGAACAGCCAAACAATAGGTGCAGCAAAATAAAAGATCTTATAAATCAACAATATCACGGGATTGTACGTATGTATATCAATGGATATCTGGACGAGATAGAAACATTTGTTCCAGCCACATAGCTGAAAGATCTCTTAAATTAGCCATATCACGAGATTATACGTATTGCTTTGGATATTTGGACCAGATATAAGCATACGCATTTGTGTTGACCTTATGCCTGACAAATAAATAATTGCGATTTTAGCTAGTGTTCTCATGGAAAGTCCAATGGCCTTCGCCTAGTTTTCTTTCAGGTGATTTTGAAAAAGAAAACGATTACCTAAAGACGCTGAATTGTATTTGGAAGTTGGGTAGTAGCGTGGCTCAAGCTTCGCCTGCGACTTGGGTTAGTCGTATTTTGTTAACTCATATGAGAAAATATATTTATATATGTATATAGTATCTATAAAGTTGACTTGGCGCGCGCGCCAACAACAAAGTTTATATGGTAGAAGAGGAAGAAGTCGAGGAAAAAAGTGGGCAAACTAGTTTTTTGGTATCCGAGCATCCGTTGGCCCAGGTTGTTGTAGTTGTGGTCGGGAGCATTTTTCTCAATGGAGCTCTCCGAGATCGTAGACTTGGGCACTTTTTAGGTGAATAATTGCGGTATGCTGTTGCTGCCTGCTGCTTGTTTTTTATGCAAATATTTTTATATACGCGCCTATCTGCGTCTGCGGCATCCAGACACACTTAACCGATATACTTGTATATCCATTGTTGCTGTTGCTGTTGTCATCGCTGTCTACTCTCTTTCAATATTTGTGTGTCTTATTTATGATTATTATTATTTTTTGCCTTCGAATCGCATTGAATAATTTCTATATTTAGCATAACAAAAATTCCATGGCAGACCAAAAAGCATAGATAGAAATTGTGAAAACATGATATGCGAAATCGAGGGAAGCGCGATTCGATTCATTATGGGATTAAAGTGTTAGACTTGGATTGTTTGGATGAAATCAATTTTAGAAGGGAAGGCGTTTTGTTTGCTAATGGAATTAGGTTTTGATATTCAAAGGTACCTAACAAAGAACTTATTTCTCCAAATTTATTGCATCAGTCTAGTTAGTCTTACAGATATGAAGCATTGTATTCACACTCAAAGCACTCATAAATTTAGTCATCAGCCAATTAAGGAACATAGATATGATCTATTATTTCTATGGAAAGCAACCGATACTATAGCAGGTCAGTGATTGATCAATTAGAGGGTTTCGTGGAAGTTCCCCAGCAATCGTTGAAATTTCATCAAATTAACGAAAGTTCCCAGCGTAAAAATTCATTCACAAGAATCTCTCATCACGAAAATACAGAAAGGTTCACTAGAAATCGGATGCTCAGGTCCATTGATGATTTCTGTGAAAAAACTCATGAACATAAATTTACCAAAATCAGATCAACGATTCAAAAAACTTGTTTGAAGAAGGTTGAATTTGAAATTGTCATATCGTGTCAAACATATCGGATGTATTGATTAGCATAAAAATCCCATAAATAACCATTAGAGGTGTGGTCGAAATAAAATTTATTAGATTTATATAACCATGTATTTTCATAAATATCTATTGCCTGTTTCGGCACTAAGCATACGCACAATTGGCACTTTTGTTCCTATGTTTGGATGGTAGCCTATAAAGCATTTTCACACCTGCCTGCAACACCAGAACTAAGCTTGGTCAAATAGCCAAAATGGCCGAAATATATGCTTGGTTTGTTTAAACATTTCTCAGTCAATTGGAATTTGTGGCAGACTCTTTTGATATTCCATTCCCAATCCCCTTTCCCCTGGCATGTTTTCCCAACTCTTTGGCTTTTGGCCATGCCACGCGCACACACATCGACTTGTTTAGGCCAAATATGCGTGCCTGATCTGTTTGTATATGGCCCGACAAATTGCCCGATCTCTGTTGATGTTGCTGTAGTTGTGTGGTTGTTCTTGTTGGCTTTATCCATTCATACATTTGGACGGTCTGTCGCTTTGGCATTCATTCATTCATAGATTGACTTGCCCAGCCAAGCGAGAAGTTGAAGTCGCTGACGTAGCATTTGCTGGCTACTCTGCTCATCCAGCGTTTACGTTTTCATTCATTTACACACACGTGTACAGTGAGAGAAAATATGAATGCAAAAATACTGCGCTCATTGATATTTTGGTGTATGCATATGTTATTTGTCTGTATTTGACTGGATAATATTCGAAATAACTTAAATAAGCTTTCTAATGCTTCTATTGGAACGCATTGTTATGAGTTTGGACTTTGTTTCCGCATGATACAGTGTTGTGTTTATAATTGTATGAGAACCCTAGTTCGACATGTTTTAGTTTTTAGTATAAACAATAATCGACCTTAAGTAAACACTTGCCAGCTTAAATGCTGTACATTAACGAACTTTTCTCAGTGTTGCCACTCACACATGCACCACCTCATCGCGCCCCTCACTCACCACCATTTCACCCATTATACCACACCATACCATACCGTACCACCGTCATTATGACCATCATCATCGACTTCTCGTAGTCGTCGTGGTCGTATTTCATTCATGAATTTTCTTTCATTCAGGTCTTCCCCGTCTACCCGTCTCCCTCCCCCTGCTGTTGCCGTCTCCTTCTATCCCCGTCTCAGTCGTGGTTGTTGAAAACGTTTTTAAATACCGGAACTGAATGTTTAGCGCTTTTAAGCATGGGAACTTTTTGTTTTCTTCTATAAACTTTCCTCTCCCTCCCTCCCAGCCTCCTTCCTCCCTCCGTCTCTTTCGTTCCCCTGTGCCTGTCTCTTTCTATCTGGCTATTTGCCTCTCTTTCCGGCTGCTCATTCACAGCCTTTTGTGGATCTATTCCGTTGTGTTCTATTCTCCAATAAGGCGTTTTTATTGCAAGTTTCCAAACAACAGGAATTCTCTGCTCAATTTTTTGTCTATTTTAGGTGTTGTGTTGTGATGCTGCTTTGTTATGCTTGTTTTATATGCGTTCCAAAATTTATTGCAGGCATTTGGATTTCAAAATTTATGAACCAATTCGAACCACACCGCCTTGTCTTGAAAGACGGTTAAATGGTATATCTTCTTCGCAGTGAAGTTTAAGGATGCGCTTGGATTCGTCTAAAGTTAATATGCTTTGATTGTTCTCTAATGCTCATAGTACTAATAGAAAATTAACAATTAGATGGTGATCCTTCGGCAGGGTATTTCTAAGTCGAACCTTTTTTGCTGCTCTGCCCCTTTTGCTGACTTGCGTATGCTGTCAATATTTTGCTTTTGATTACTGTTGATACTTCACGCCTCGCCTCGTAGCAACATCGAGCAAGAATTCGATTTTCAGGGCGTGTTTTGTCGAATGACATTTGACATAATACATAGATATGCGATACATGATATATGGCCGATCCAATCCCCTCTCTTTCTCAATGGGCACTTGATTTATGGCCAGATCGGGAGTGAGAACAATGGAACCGATGTGACCTATGATCTGAATTCGCATTGTAGCGGATTTAAGGGGAAAGATAACGCCAAGAACTTTTTGGTGGACCGTGGCTTAGTCATGAATGCTTAGCCAGCATTGAACTCTTGACCCGCCTGGCTAATTGGTTTTGGTATCGCTCATATCGTTCGGTTGTACAGCAATTGCGGCTTTAATTGATCAAATGCGACAGATCAGTTGAGTTGAGCTCTCGGCTGCAAACAACTTTCATTTTTCAGCCACAGCGAGTGTTGCCGCTGCAATTAAATGTGCCATATGCGTGTGGTGATATATGGATAGTGGTTTTGTGGGTGTCAAGTGTAATGGCCATAGGGCGGCTGCTAAATATAGCCAGAGTTTCTTGAACAAAAGCAAAAAAATATGTAAAAATAACGAACTAAAACTCGGACCCAGCCCAAAAAAGTTGCATTGCAAAACCTGCTGTGCAGAGAAAGAAATCGTAGGTAGTCTTGCGATGGACATTTGAGAGATCTCTATGCTATAATACATGTGACTGATTAGTTGATAATGATACAAATCCCAAGACAGGAAACTTTTTAGATAACTTAGTAGAGCAGACTTTAATCAGACTTCAATTTGAATGAAATAATCTAATCGATCAGCATTGTTTTCTGTGTAGATGCTGCTGCTGCCGCTGTTGTTGATACCGCTGGCGTGGGCAAATGGCAACCAGTTGAACAGGTGTCTGCTGACGTTGTTGCCTGCATTATGCAACCTGCCATTGCCAGTTGTTGGTTTCATTGGTACCTTGTGATATTTTTGTTTTTTTTTTTTACCCGGCCCCGATCAATGCAAACATGTAATTAGCCAGGCTAATCAAATGAATTTAGTATTTGCTAGCTACTCACCCCCACTTGGTAGAGGACGCGCACATCCCGGTCGCCGTGCCTGCTGCCGATGATGCTGCGGTGTTGCTGCTGTTTCTGCAACATTTGTCGCGCATGTCGCCGCGACTCGGCGAGATCCTTCTCCGCGGCCGCCGTGGAAATGCTCACAACGGTCAGTTGCTCGGCGGCTGGCTTCACTGTACTGGTCGCCACTCCAGCTGCTGCCGCTGCTCCTGCTCCTGCTGCTGCTCCTCCTGCTGCTGCTCCTGCTGAAATATCTTTGGCGTCGTAGACGGTGTACTGCAGACTCTTGTGCTTGTCCGCCGTGGACGTGGTCGGCGTAATCTCGAACACCTCGAGCGGCAGTCGCGTGCCGCCGACAGCAACAGCAGTGGCGGTCAGCAGCAACAGCCACATGCACGGCAGCAACATCAATGTCGTAGGCATGATTTATGACTCTGACTCTGGATGCTGGATGGATTTCTGGATTTGTGGATCTCTGGATGTTTGGGAATCTGGATCTGGATCTAGATCTGTACCTGGATCTTTCCGAATCTCTCGCAATCTCCGCTGAGAGAGTTGTGCGTGCGGCTTGTAATTGACACTCAATGAATTTTGTAATTGAATTCGAATCAAATCCAATCCAATCGAATCGAAACGAAACGAATCGAGTCGAATCAGTGTTCTCGCTCTATCTCACTCGCTCGCTTAGAACCCATGGCTTACATGCACACACACACTGGCAGAAACGAACTCTACAAATCAGGTTTCAAATCGAACGATCGATTGATTTGTGGCGAATGTCACTCGAAATTATTGGATATTTCATTCACTGCAATCGGTGGTCGGTAGTTTCTTTTTGCTATTTAGTAACTTTACACCCGCGACGTCGCTGTCTCCGGTGGCCTTTCGTCTCGTCTCGTTTCGTCTTTTCATTCGCTCCTGGAACGAATACTCTATGGTATCGTATCGTATCGTGTCGCCTCGATTCCGCTGCCCTCGCTATATGGTTGTTCGCTCGACCAACTCACTTTTCGAACTGATCAAACAGAAAATCCAAAAACGAACAGCGCATGGCGAACGGCGAACGAGAGCCGCTGAAGCCGGCAGAGAAGTGCGCTGCTCGCGTCGCTGCCGGCATGTGCGTGTCTGTACACTGGGCGAAAATACATGGTGAGGCGAAGAAATTATGGAAAATTTAACATTTCATTTATTTCTTTTTTCTATTGTTTGTATGAGAAGCTTTATTTAAACTGCAAATTTAAGTAAATGCTTCATAATCTTGAAGTAAATAATCAAAAAATAATTAAATTTTAGTTATTTTTTATTGTTATTATTAAGACTAATGATATCAATTTTAAATATAAAATATAAATTATATTAAAATTGTTTCCGTTCCATATCGATGAGTGGTAAAATTTGAAGTAGTCCACAAATTCGAAACTTTTCAACGGAATCGTGCAAGTTGAAAAAAGTGTATGTATTGCACTCATTTGAGCGGACTACTAGTGATTTAAAACCTTTAAAAATGTACTGATCAAACGACATTGTTCTCAGTGCACGAACGAGAGCGCGTCATGGGCTGGATATGAATGAATGAACATGTTGTTGCTGCCTTTTCCCGCTGGTGGTTGCAGCATCCACTGCCGCTGCGCATGTGTGCGTGCGCGTATCTGTGAGGTGCATCTGTGACGCTGCGCGGCTGTATTGGTGAGAGCGAGCGGATGGCAAGGTGTCTCTGGCTCGCGTGCTTGGCTTAAAGCAAAAGCAACAAGAGCAACGAAATAAAATACAACAAAATAACAAAAAATTAAAAGGGGGCCTCGCAGCCAAGCGACTCTGGCCGCTTCCGTTGCATCCTTTCGGCCGTTTTTGCTGCCGCCGTGTTGTTTTTGTCATCTTTACTACGGCACCGGAAACTAATTCCTGCCTTAGCCGCAACGACTTGGACTTGGACCGCCTCCTCCTGGCCTTGTTCGCTCTCCTTCCACTTGCGCCGTGGTTTCATGTTTGGGCCTTATTCTTGTAGCGCATGCCAAAAAAGAACAACTGGAAGAGAATCCAGAAAGGAAAGATTGGGTTCAAAGTCGAAACTTTAAATTCCCTTTGTAACTAAGGTTTAGGGCTTTATCGCTGAATTACTTTGGTAACTACAGATCCGAAAGTGATTTGATATGCAAAGAAAACACCTATAATCGAGTTTACTGTTTAATTACCACCGGTTTTCATTGTATATTTATAATGTAGATGTAATATATACCATTTCTCCTGACAACTCTAAACAAGAAGTTCAGAATTGTAGGTTGTTTTTTATATGTTCGGTGCCAGCTGGTGAGGTTTTGAAAAGGTATTTTATTGTACTCCGTTTCGTCTCCATCTTAAGTGCGCAAAATGTTTGGGCTGTTTCTTTGGGGCCGCCCAAAATGCCTCCGAAAATGGTAATGCCCCCAAATAGTGTATTTGGAGAGTGCGAGAGAGACCTGGAAACGATCTTCATCTCCACATCTTCAGCTTGGAAGTTCAAGCGAAAAACGCGCGAGGTTCGGCAGAAAGCCCGCCAATTTTATGGGCCAAACCCGATAAGATTTCATTTGTTTACGAGTTACCTTGAGACGCGCCAGAAACAACAATAGCAACAACATAAGAAAGAACTGGCGATATAGGAGCATTAACCAGAACCGACAACTCCAACTGAAAGGCGGCCATTGTTAGTTGGAGGTTTCCCTTTCCCCTTTCCCTTTTCCCTTTCCCATTTTACCTCTTCCAATTCGATTTCTAGCTAACGACCAACAGCTGATCAAAGAACGTATCTCTTTCGCTATCATTCGCAGGTAAAATGTACGCAGTAATTGGCCGGCGGCACGGCAAAATCCTCTCCGGCGATTTGACCCAGGGCAGCGGCAACTTCGCGGTCACCTGTCTGCTGCCTGTGATCGAGTCGTTCAACTTCGCCCAGGAGATGCGAAAGCAGACATCTGGCCTGGCCTGTCCCCAGCTCATGTTCAGCCACTGGGAGGTGAGTACTGTACAGTGGAGCTCTCTAATTTTCCCTTCAGCTTGGATTGGAGTCCTAAACCAACGTTTGGGGCCTTCTTTGTGATGGGATACTTAAGGGGAAGTACTTTGAGTGGTCTCGGGCAACATGACTTCTTCTGATAATGATTAATTTAAGAAAACCCCTCTAATGCGTAATTCAAATAATAGTTACATTAGCAAACAGAGTTAGTAAGTTGCAAAACATAAATATTTAGAATGAGTCAAACACTTACATTCCTAGTACATTGTTTAGCAGACGCAGTTATACAGAAAACATTTTGATCTATGTGCTAAGTACTTGTGCTAGTTGCTAGAAGGTTGTTTCTGTTACGGAATCCTGACTGTATCTGGCAGCTGTTGCGCTGCTCTGCTGATGGGGCACAAGTGCAGCGAGTGTCCGACCATATGCCATGTGCGTGCCTCACCGAACTCCCCCTATTCCTGACCCCCATCCCCCAGCCCAACCTCTCGACCCGGCTGCTTCTCCCCGAAACTCTCGCTGCCTGTCTGTGGTCAATAAAAATCTCAGCTTACGCTGCTCTAAGCCTTCTGTTACCTTCTGCTGAAGTCTTATAAGCTAAACCACAGTCAGCAGCAGTAGCAACATGGCAACAGCAGCAGCAGCAACATAGCAGCAGTTGGACTGAAAGATATATGGTCCATTTGAAGCTGCAGCTGTGTGCCATTCGAGGTAACCCAAAGCCCCAAACCAGACTCCCTTGCTCCTCCAGTCCTCTCCTTTCTCCATCGCATTCTGACCTTGTCGTGGGCCACAATTAACACTCAACTTGATGCAAAAGGCCAAGATCAGCGGATGGGTTAAGCTTGGCCAAAAAATTATTCAAGTTTAGCCTGCAACGGCTTCGAATCATCTTTGTAGGCATGAAGGTAGTTACTTTTTAAGACCAAAGGCAGAAAAGATATTCAGCTTAAATTGCAGGATTAAAACACAACTTTGTTTAATGTTAATAATGTTAACCACACATATTTCCAAAGTGCGTGCATTTCGTATTAGTATGGGTTCTTCTATCAGTGTGTTTGTGCTAGTGTTGGTCACATCGCCCAACCAATCGATAACAACAAGTTTTTGTATAATGACTTCCGGCGATTTTCTATTTCTCAGCTCAAGTTTTGCCGGCGACGGAGATGTTGTTTGCCGTTGCTTCGTATAATTTCTTACGCATTTCCAACGCCGCTCTGCAGGAAAAGTGGAAAAAGGGCGTGGAAATGGGCGGTAAAGTTTGATTGCACAGAAACAATTTCATTTAAACGGTCTCTTCGCAATATCTTATCGAAATAAGCCTACAGCACAAAAATATTACATCTATGTATTGCATTATTTTCTAAAGAAGAGCCGCCACTTAAAAGCTTAGTTTCGCAACTTCTAATTGTGTTGAAATCTTAACGGAAACTAGTTCAGTCAGCACAAGGGAAAAAGTATCTGAGAGATATTCCATGCGATTACATTATTCTGGTCGAAGACAAAGTGAAAACAATTAGGATTTCAGCTTACCTCCCGTACGAGCAATTAAAACAGTCCGTTTCAGCACTTTGTCCACGCCCACACCTCTTGGCCAGTGGCCACCCCGCCCCCTGGCACCCAACCCCTTTTTTCAGAGTTTCTTGTTGTTAACCCTCACCTCACCTGCCAGGTGAGTGGGCCGGGTTCTCCGCCGTGGGCGCAGTTGTCACGTGCCCATAATAACAACGAAGGCGTCACTTCACTGGAGTGGCCAACTTCTGGTTGGGACCAAAAGGGAAAAGGGCTCAGAAGTGGGCGGGGGCGTCGTCGTGTTCCCAAAAAGCCATTTCCATTTCTTGCTGCATCATGGCCCACAATAAGTTCGTTAAGCATGTGCATCCCCGGATCAGCAGATCTGCAGCCGCAAGAAATCATCTCTCAAGATGAACTCTTAACGTGGAGTCCGGAATCTGGGAGCTGCAGGCTGCAGGCTGAACAAGCCACCTGAAACAGAAACCGAGGCAACAAAAACTAATTTTCAGTTTTCATATATCATAATTTTTTCTGTTATTGCCGTTGCTCTTTCACTTCACGTGGCAGCATTAAGACGGCAGTCAGGAGCTCCAGATTCAAGCCAACAGTGCGTTTCATTGAAAGCATGCACTCGTTGTAAACAGAGCTTAACAAAAGTTTGTTCTTCAACGGAGTTCGGCTAGAAGCTAAAATGTTTACATTTAATATTCAAACAAAAATTCAAAGAAGCTTGCCATAGCTGTTCACACTTTTAAGGATTCTGTAAGACGTGATAGATATTGTTTCCGTTTTAAGAGGGCAGTTCATGAAAATTTTAATAAAATTCGAATTTCCTTCTTTGCCGAAATATCCTAACCATCCCACTCTGCGCGGCCTTACAGCAATGTGTCGCACTGTTTAGCCGAGAAAACTCCACTCGTCGGGTGGCTACTGTCTTGCGCGCTTTTGTTATTATTTAATTTTGTGCTTCCTTTTGTTTCGCCCCACTCCGCCCGCTGGCTGCATCACTTCTCATCTCTTCTGGCCACTTGATGAACCCAAAGATTGTTATTATGATTACGTGTGTGTGTGCCGGGGACGGGAGAAATGCGCGGGGCAGGAAGAGGGTCAAGACCTGCAGCCTACCGAAAAAAAGCAGAAAAAATAATAAAATAACATAACAACTTTGGCTACTGGTCTTACTTTCAGGCCGCTCTGCATCGGGTTTTCCTCTGCAGCGGAGTGTTGCATATGATTTGGTTCTGGTTGCCTTGCTGCTGTTCTTGTTGTTGTTCCTGCCGGTTGTCGCGCTTTGCATGCAAGACCTCGGTTCTGGAGCTCTGGAACTACTTCAAAAGCATAACAGCCACGGCCACAACAAACTGTGAGCAGAGAACCAAGACAAATAACAAATAATCTGATAACTCGTTTTGTATACCTGCCACAGTCTGCCCCCCACCAAAGGGAAAGTCTGCAGTGGAGACAGTGTGGAAGGGAGTGGGGTCAAGAGGAAGGGGCGGGGCTGGAGTTCGAGTTGGAGGCGGGGGTCGTAGGGAGTTCGCCGGGGGGAGGCGGGGGAGAGTATGGAAGTGCCCTAAAGTCTGCCTGGTGCGAATAAGCACACACATACAAATGCACTGGCCAAAAAGATGGTGTAATAATTCCTAAATTTGACTATGTCTTTAAGCAATTCCTTGGTGAAAATTATTCGTACTATTGTGAATTTATATCAATCCATCTTTAAATTAAAAAGTGTCAATTTTAAAATATAAGATTGGAATCAAAACCCCTTTATTATTAAAACCCCCTTTATTTTTATTGCTGAATTCATTTTCGTGAGCTAAGCACCCATTCCTTTTACTGTAGGGATATATCCATGCCAAGGCAAGTGTTTATCCAAGTGGCCAAAGGATTGTTGCTGCTCTCGTTGTTGTTGTTTCAAAGTGGAACGTGGTTTGCATTGTCCGCTCGCTGGCTGTCAAAATGACGCTCATCGAAGTCCGCCGTCCGCCGTCCGTTGTCCGTTGTCCATTCGCTGGAGACTTTTACCCAAGCGGGGAGCCCAAGTCTTTCGAATCAACTCGACTCGAATCGAGTTATATTCTGTGGGCCCGGTCTCTTTCACAGTCTTTCAGCCAGTTTCTGGCGCGCGATAATAATCTCAACTTCGTCTTGGTCGCGGACGGACAAATGGACAAACGGACAAGCGGACAAGTGGACAAGCGGACCGATGGACGGCAGCGTATTTCGGTAGCTGCCGCGTAAATTACCTGCATACAAACCGCGCGCGGTCGACAGGTAAACACACTCACTCACACACCTAAGCACACCACTCATAAGAACACGTGTGTGGAAAGAGAGTTCGAGATACAGAGCGATATAATGTAGTACCATACCCAGTGTGTGTGTTGATGTCACGTCGCTTGGTTTTGGCTTTGGCTTTGGTTTTTTGGACTTTTGTCTTGGTTTTCGCGTTGCTTCCATATTTTTCTTAATATTCGAGCCTCGAGATGGGCGAATGGTCGGCTTGGAGGTGGCGATCAGGAGTGGGTGATAATGGGGATTTGCTGCATTAGTGGGGGCATATGGTTATCCCTTCCTTGAGTGGTATTAGTGCGTTATAAGCAGTGTCCACTGCACTGGCAAAAAGTACAAATGAAGAATTCTTGCAGAAATAACATTCCACGGTTACAGCTACATTTGTGGAAAAGGAAATTAAGATTTCAGTTCAATAGATGAAAATACTTAAGTGCAGTCCGCTTTTTAATGTTTGGTAGTTATATTATTATATGACTCCCCATTTTGGGGCAGTGCACTCATCTGCCTGCTGGTGGCTGGCTGCTCATTTGTCTGGCCCGGCTCAGACGCAAGTTCTGCGCACTTCTGGAGCACTTCAGCTGCCACAGGGTCTCCTCCGCAGGCTGCCCGAGATTTGGAGTGGGAATGTTGGGAATGGGTATGGGTAGGGACGGTGATGCTGATGGTGATGGGGAGCGATGGAGAGACTGGAGGCTGCTGCGCATGCGCAGAACCATTTGCAAAGGATGGCATCGCTTTTGCGTTCCTGTTTTGTTGTGACAGGGATTGCAAACTGCGAACTGGGATTGCCTTACCTTGTCGAGGACTACTGCTTGGCTCCCTTTAGTGCCCCCATTGTTCCCTTCGCTGCGCTCCCTTGCCCACTTGGCGTTGTTGGCTGTTGTTAAACAAGCGAAACTTTGTGCCCGATAATGATCTACATGGGATTGCGAAGATGTTCGAGGGCCCGCAGTTTAGCGTAGTGCGAACAGATGGCCCAGAACACGCACTGTGAGAAAATCATTGCAAATTGGCTATAAAAGCACATACTAGATATTATTATGTGGGTTTATAGGTGTTCCAACTAATGAATGCATAAGAATAAGGCAGAACTTAGGTGCTAACCTATTTTTCATCTTTTCATTTAATTCCGATATGATTCTATTTTTCTTGCTGTGGAAGGAAGAGTCTCTGCCTGACAAAAGACCAACCTCAAGTCTCAGCATCTTAATCAGTTCTCGAGCAAGCTCGGTCATTGATGACGGAATTCATAAAGTGTAGAACCCGAACTCTGGAGTGGGAGAGTGCTAAGTTTTTCCAGCGAACCGCTCGACACCCGCCCGCTGGGCATCGAGTCCTTGCTGGAAGGGAAGAATAAAAAGAAGGAAAGGAAGGAAAACAAAACAATGCAGATCTCACACCAGAGATTCTCAAGTGGTTCGCCTCGCAGGAGGCAATCATCAATCAAGCGCAGGGAACGCTCTTCACGCCATTGAGGAAATGCCCCGTTCTCCGGTATGCCGATTCTGCGTATCCTGGCGAGCCTGCCTTATCACGTAACGTGCAATGCGTGTCCCTGCGTCCTTTGAAAGTCATTAAGCGTCGAGTCCTTTGTCGCAGCCTCTCGAGTCCAAACAATGAAGATGTGAAAATGCACGCTTTTCCTGCTGCTGAGACAAAGAGCCCTGCTCAGAGGCCCAAAATACATACGAGCATACCGAAGAAATAAACCCCGACCCAGCCCATAAACCCAACCCAAATCCAATCCAATCCAGTGCGAGGCGCAGGCGCAGGCGCATAGACACAGCGACGCCTCGTTCCTTTGTCCCGTCTCAAGTGCCTAAATGATTTCCCGGAATTTACACCCTGCGTCTGCTTACAGGTGATTGATATCGATCCCTTCTGGCTGCCGACAACCGAGGAGGAGCTGATGCACTTCGGCGAGAAGGCGGACTCCGCCAACCGAGCCAAGGTCTACATGGACAGTGTCCGGCGCAGGAAAGGCCTCTTCGTGGACGAGCAGGTGGTGGAGCACGCGGAGAAGCAGCGCACCCTCTCCAAGAACAAGTGATTGGGCTGGTGACCTGACCTCCTGGGTAAGTTGTACGAGTATATTCAATGCTCCCTCTTCCATTTATACCAAAACCTCCTGAAATAAAATAAGCATTAGTATCACCATATGTCATAGATAGGTCAAAATATAGAAAAGTTTTGGTTTTATTTAAAATGTATTGGGAATGATATACATTGGCAAAATGTTAATTGCAATAGCTGCTCTGGGTTCAAGTCTTTTAATTAGGAATCGTTTAAGTTATTTTACAGGCTGATTCGTGGGCTGTTCAGTTTCCGCCGCCAAGACAGCTGCATTTTGGGAGATAAGTCCGCTCTCCTTCTCAGGAACTTCTGGAACAGCCAGTGGATTTTCGCCCAAAACAATGTGAATGCAACTAATAGTCATAGACAAGTGAAATCATTAATAAGGAAATTAAAAGTCACACTGCGGGATCACTTACAGTATCATCACAAAGACAGCGATTTGGGTGGCAATAGTTAGGATGAAGACATTTCCGCCGTAGTTGGTACTCTGAGTAGCCCGATAAATTTGCGAATAGCACACTCCGCTGATGAAGGGCACCGCATTATCGCAAACTGAGAGCAGTGCAAACACCTTTCCGCGCTCCGATGTGGGCACTATTTTGGAGGTCATGGCGCGGATCATGGGACCCACAATCGGGCCCAAGCTGCAGACAACTGCGCCGGCGTAGAGCACGTCCGTATTGGTGGCAAAATAGAAGAACAACCGGGCTATCGAATGTGCCCAGGTGCCAATGAAAACAATTGTCTATGAACAAGACGATTTAAATTATTAAATGGTCTTTTGAATGGCGTGAATACGAAGCCAAATAATTTACAAGCCAAATTGGTAATCAAAACCTTAGGATTTTCGATCTGCAATAGGTGCCGATAAGAACTCACCGTATCCCTCCATCCAAGGAGCTTGTTCATCAGCGGCACTGCCACCAGCATGGCAATCACATAGGCCGACGACTTGAAGGTCTTGAAGTGGCTATACGCACTCACATCCCAGTCAAATTTGCCCAGGGTGTACATGTAGAGGTACTGCGCCTCGTCGCGCTGGAAGGTGTACAGCGCCATGCTGACCAGAAGGATAATGAGAAAGCTGCGGCGATGTCCGTTCCGCGGCTTTATCAGCACCGCCAACGAGTCCTTCACATGCTGCTTATCAAAGAAGTCGCCCCAAAAGCCACAGTATCCGAGTTCCCTCAACGATCGCTGCCTCGGCGTCGTTTGCCACTGAAATTTGTAGTAACCAAGTTCATTCCAACGTTTCGCTTTCCGAGATTGATCCGAAACTTACCTTCAGGGCGCACAGGGTGTAGATGATGGCGAGGGCAAGTAGTGAAGCGTTCACGATGAACATGTCCGCGTAGGACTGGTTGAACACGTTGTAAAAGAGATGCGAGCCGAGGGCCACGCCCAGGGGCATGGCACTGAGGTAGATCACGTCCAGGATGGTCACCCGGATGGTGCGCTGCTCCAGCGTGGAAATGTCCGAGATGTACGCAAAGCAGGAGGCGAAAATGGCCACATCCGCGCCGGTCAACGACGATGGAAGGGTGGCCGAGTAGATGATGTTCTGCACCGGCCACGTGGGCATCTTAGCATTGACCACTATCATCGTGGAGTAGAAGAACTTGCCCACCAATCCCATGAGCAGTGGCAACTTTCTGCCCCGCCGATCCGAGAAGGAGCCTAGAAAAAGGGCAAGGATAATGGAGAAGACGTGGGCGGAGATGCTCTCCCACTGGAGAAACCAGGCATTGGTCGACATGGCCTTCTTTCTGAACTCCTCGTTCTCCGGCTTGTTGAGATTCAGGCAGATCTCCTCCGTGAAATTTCTGTTAACCCGGCAGGATTTGTAAATGAAGAAGTTCTGCTCCACCACCGAGGTGATCATGAAGGCGAACATGTACAGGAACATTGTGGGCTCCACCGATATGGATTTGACCACATGCCACGCCCACTGGCAAACGGAGCGGCACGCCCCCTCGTCTCGCTGTTCCCTGACGGCGCCGGACGCGGTGTTCTCGCTGTTCTCACTGTTCCCACTAGGCCAACTATTCCGCCTTCGTGCCGCATTTTCGGAGTGTGCCTGCAAGTATGCAATGGATTTTGCGTTATGCTTTCAACTGCTTCATTGATGGGATGGGATGCTGCCAAAGATTTCGTCTTAAGCTCTCTTTAAAACTCGTTTCAAGCAGTAGGTACTCTACAACATTTGGTAAAGCTTAAAATTTGGTTATCTCAGCTTTTGCTGTTTACAAGTATTATTGTTGTCTATCATCAAACTTGTATCAACTAAGAATATTTAATTTGAATTTATAAAAATAGTTTATTTATGATGAATAGTTTTCACCCCAGATGTATATTCCAAGTTTAACTACTACAAACTGAGGTTGTTCACTGCAAAAATTTCTATGCACAGCAGCGTTTCAATAATATACATTTATTTTAATTTATTGTAATTTTGTCAACATGCTCTGGCGTAATTTCAGCAACCATTTAGCGCAAAAGGTTGCTTATTTGAGGTGCATAAGTACTATAAGAGTATTCGCAAGTCACCAGAACTTTATCAAATTAATGCGACCACATGTCGTTGACACTATTAATATACATAGTAAACAAGCAATGTTCCATTTATTACTTTTTATCATGCTCACATAACCAGACACAACACTTGAAATCAATAATGGAAACTTTGCACAACAAAAACTACAAGGGCATGTTATTTTCAAAGATTTCTTCTGCGAGCTTCGCGCGTTTTTTAAGCATCAATTTGTGATACGTAATCATTTGACGAATCGCGACGCTTCAATTTGCGCGATTTCTTACTTGCATAAATTTGTGCGGTCCAATTTGTGCGATTTCTTAATTGCATAAAAGGCGAACTATTTTTTATTTTGCGTTGTTGTCACTCACTTAATTTTTGTTAAATTGTTAAATTCGGAGCATAAACAAACAAAAACAAACTCACCTCTGTCGCGCTCATTTTTATTATGCGCACTCGCTGTTCAAATCGCCAAAAGAGAGAATTTTTAAAAGAAGAGCATAAAAGAGAAAATGTTATGCCTTAAAACGAAAAGAGACGAAATTTGAATCAGTCTCTTTGCTCTTTTTTTTTTTCAAAATTTGCGCGGTTTCATATTTTGCAAATCAATAGATTACACTTCTAGTATTTACACTGATATTGGTTATTTAATCAGCATTTGTTATGCAAATTTGAGGAATATTAAATTATTGTTTACTTCAATGCATTTTATACCAATCGCCGTTATTGCATATTTAGAAGGGTTAGATTGGAAGCCGTGGAATTCTATTTTCCTACTAAGATAAGCTAAATTCGATATAGCAGATTATCAATGATTGTTTGCCCATTAGGTAAATCAATTTACTATCATTCCTCGTTAGTTTAGCCTATTTCGCAATAGATTAGATTTTGAAACGTACCCTTGAAGTGCGGGTATGTCACTGAATCGGATTTCTCGCTTTAATTAATTGCACGTGTATGGCCGTATTTTTGGTACTAATTTTAATTGTCGTCTAGCCGGTTTTTTAGTTTCTTTGCCCTCTTATCATTACGCCTTTATTTGTAGCTCTCCAATTTAGTTCAGTATCAGAAACGTTCAACAAACTACCAAAAAACCTCGATAGCGGGTTATGAACTTTGATTGTGGACTCATAAACTTGGATTTACTACTCGCCCCCCAAGTTTTGGACCGATAAATATTTTCAGAGATTTTCAATCACCGAACTGTGATTTACAGTTCACAGTAATGAGCTTAGTTTAATTTCTGTGGAATTGATTCAGCTGTGGCTGGCATTTCTGTGTATATTGAATTTCACATCACTACGCTGCACTTTTGTATTTTCCACTGATATTATGTTCCGCGAAACATAAAAAATAAACCGCGCCGATGCGACTTATCCGCTCTATAACTCGCTGGCAACTGAAAAGAGGGTCCCGTCCACTAAAAAACAGCTTATCAGCCGAAATGCTGATACAGAGCGATTTCAATGCAATCGGAGCTTCAATGGCGGTTGTTTATTCCCAACTTGTAAATACCTTTTCAATGGGTTTTTCCAATTAGCTGAGACCGTTTTTGATTTCTTTTTTCTATTTCCTTTTTTGCAGATACTATGACATTTTTGCTCTACTATCACGAATGGATGTAACAAATCATGCTGGGGAACGACATATATTTTTATACCTCATACAATTATTCAATGAACAAATAAATGTTATTTTCTTACAAAAAATGCTGGCGGCATATTTAATAAGCTCCTTCGGGAATATATCAGATTAAAATACCATAGCATTATTTCAAAATGCCCAAAAGTATGCAACCACTGTCAGCGGTTCTCAGAAAAACATTCTGTTCGGCTGATAAATAATCAGATTTAAAAGACGGATTTTTTCAAAGTGGTTCAAATATATAAATTAAAATTGAAGTAGTAGGCACACAGGTGCTTTGGCTTTTCCTTGGCTTGGAATCGATGCACTCCAAACATAAATAGATTATTATCTGATTGGCTCCCAATCATTTTGGAAATGTTAAAAGTTACACTACTAGAAACCTTCATTGCGAAAAGAGTTTACCAGACTGTTTTACTTATCAATCATTTTCCGGCCCCCCTTTTGAGCCAATGAATGCGAAAACGCGTAGCAAAACACAGAGGCGAATTGGCTCCCATCTGCTTGCTGGCTTTCCCGATCCAGCGGCGGTTTTCCGAGCTGGCTGCTTGGATGACTCTGGCGCTGCGGGGCTTCCCGTTGGCTTGGTGGGCTGGTGGGTTGGTCTGGACTGCATTTTCCGCTGGCAATGGTAACCGGAGCCGCCACCTAAGCCCGCTGCTTCCCCAGCCAAGCGGTCGGTAAACTGCAAGACGATCGAATGCCCGCTGCCAGGGCCACCCTAAAGATTGTGGACCCCGCACCAGATCCCAGGTTAAACATATTTGCATTGTGGGGTGCTGGGCACCACAGTAGTTACTGGCAAGTGAGCTATTACAAAATAGTACCCATTATTCCAATAATACCAAAGAGTGTAAGTGCAAAGGCTTTGTAGCGCACCAAAAATGGTCTCCAATGCAAAATTGATCTAATAAATACAATATGGTTAATATGAAACCCTAAAAAGTACATTCATCCCAACTTAGAAACATTGTGTAGTAATTAGAAAATCAAATTAGAAAATGTATTTATTCTTTTGTTTTTATATATTTTGCTTATAGTCAAATATTTTTTATTCTTGTATTACTTGAAGCTATATTCAAATAAAAATGTTTATAATTCGTGTATTTTATATTATTATATTATTATATTATTGATAGTTATATAATGTAGATTGTTATATGGTTATATTATAGATGAAAAGATTCTCTTTACGCAGTTTGTACTGTTCCTGTCTATCTTACCGTCAACTTGGCTGTGACAACTTCCCAGCAAAGTTTAGATGGTTAGTTGGTGCCCAGCTGTGGCACGCTTCGGTTCAGCAAAAGTCGGGCTCCCCAGCAGTGAGACCAAGATAAAACCCAGCGATAATGTCGGACTCAGATAGCAAGCTGATCGATGTGGAGGCCGCGGAGCGAGTGGAGCGGGTGGAGCAGCATGAGCAGCATGAGCTGCAGCCGATGCCGTTGGGCAGCACCATTGAGGTGCCCAGCCTGGACAGCACGCCCAAGCTGTCGAAACGGAACAGTTCGGAGAGGAGCCTGCCGCTCAGGAGCTACAGCAAATGGTCGCCCACAGAGCAGGGAGCCACGCTGGTGTGGCGGGATCTCTGCGTCTACACCAATGTCGGTGGCTCCGGGCGGCGGATGAAGCGGATCATCAACAACTCAACGGGGGCCATTCAACCGGGCACTCTGATGGCTCTAATGGGCTCGAGGTAAGCTGCTGCGGAAATCGATACGGCTCGAGATCGGGTGCACTCGAGTGGAATGTGCTCGAGAGCAGGCTGTCCAAAAACGTGTTAACTATGTCAAGATGTCTTATTTTCGACTCTGATAAGCAGAGATTCCGCTGCGTCCCGCCGCCTCTAATAAAACATCTCCCATTCACAGTGGCTCTGGGAAAACAACACTTATGTCAACGCTCGCCTTTCGACAGCCGGGTAAGTTTCAGACACTACCAAGTACATGTAGCTATAGTTCCCGATAAGATTACACTGATCCCCATTCTATCTCCGCCCATCTCCACTCCATTTGCACTGGGATCTGCGCTGCAGCCGGGACCGTGGTTCAAGGCGACATTCTGATAAACGGCCGCCGCATCGGACCCTTCATGCACCGCATCAGCGGGTACGTCTACCAGGATGACCTCTTCCTCGGAACGCTGACTGTGCTCGAGCACTTGAACTTCATGGTGAGCTGCTGTACTATACATGAGGTGTCTCAGCGTTTAACATCTTGGTTGCTTAGTTTATTGGAATGCTAGAATGACTTTTGTACTAGTTCCATTAAGTAGACTTACCCAAGCCTTGTACATGAACGTTATCTTGCCGATGTTAGCTCAGTTTGTGCTACTTTAAATAAGGCCTCGTGTAAACACAAATTTAGAAGAATATTTCGCTCTCCGTGCTCTAGGCACATCTCCGCCTGGACCGTCGGGTGTCGAAGGAGGAGCGTCGCCTCATCATCAACGAGCTGCTGGAGCGAACCGGGCTCCTTTCGGCGGCCCAAACTCGCATTGGCAGTGGCGATGACAAGAAGGTTCTTTCGGGAGGAGAACGCAAGCGATTGGCATTCGCCGTGGAGCTGCTGAACAACCCGGTGATCCTGTTTTGCGATGAGCCCACCACGGGACTGGACTCGTACAGTGCCCAGCAGCTGGTGGCCACGTTGTACGAGTTGGCCCAGAAGGGCACCACCATCCTGTGCACCATCCATCAGCCGAGTTCGCAGCTCTTCGACAACTTCAACAACGTGATGCTGCTGGCCGATGGCCGGGTGGCCTTCACGGGATCACCGCAGCATGCTCTGAGTTTCTTTGCCAATCACGGATACTACTGCCCGGAGGCCTACAATCCGGCGGACTTCCTAATTGGCGTCCTGGCCACCGATCCTGGCTATGAGCAGGCCTCGCAGAGATCGGCCCAGCACCTTTGTGATCAGTTCGCCGTCAGCTCGGCGGCCAAGCAGCGGGATATGCTGGTCAACCTGGAGATTCACATGGCCCAGTCCGGCAACTTTCCCTTCGACACGGAGATGGAGACCTTCAGGGGCGTGGCCTGGTACAAGCGCTTCCACGTTGTTTGGCTGAGGGCATCGCTAACCCTGCTTAGGGATCCCACCATTCAATGGCTGCGGTTCGTCCAAAAGATCGCAATGGCCTTCATCATCGGAGCCTGCTTCGCCGGAACCACGGAACCCTCCCAGTTGGGCGTACAGGCTGTTCAGGGCGCCCTTTTCATCATGATATCGGAGAACACCTACCATCCCATGTACTCCGTGCTGAATCTCTTCCCACAGGGATTTCCGCTCTTCATGAGGGAAACCCGATCGGGACTCTACTCCACGGGCCAATATTATGCGGCCAACATCTTGGCTTTGGTAAGTGTTATTATTGCTTATAGAATTTTCCCAATTTTCACTCATTTGTTAACAGCTGCCCGGCATGATAATTGAGCCCTTGATGTTCGTCGTAATCTGCTACTGGCTGACGGGTCTGAGGTCCACCTTTTATGCCTTCGGAGTGACTGCGATGTGTGTGGTGCTGGTGATGAATGTGGCCACAGCCTGCGGTTGCTTCTTTTCCACGGCCTTCAATTCGGTGCCGCTGGCAATGGCTTATTTGGTGCCCCTGGATTACATATTCATGATCACCTCGGGAATCTTTATACAAGTGAAGTGGGTGATTGCCCTGTTTGTTTTTGATAACTCTGCTCAAGCAACATTCAACTTCCAGCTCGCTACCAGTGGCCTTTTGGTGGACACAGTTTCTCTCATGGATGCTCTACGCCAATGAGGCCATGACCGCTGCCCAGTGGTCCGGAGTGCAGAACATTAGTAAGCTGAGCCCAAGTCGCCATCCAAAGTATCCATATTGACCTAAATGTTTGCAGCCTGCTTCCAGGAGAGTGCCGACTTGCCCTGCTTCCACACGGGCCAGGATGTGCTGGACAAGTACAGCTTTAACGAGAGCAACGTCTATCGGAACCTTCTGGCCATGGTGGGGCTCTACTTTGGCTTCCATCTGCTGGGATACTACTGCCTTTGGCGAAGGGCGCGGAAGCTGTGAGAGTGCTCTAAATAGGAGTTTACTTACTACAGAGCAATGAAGGATGAGCTCGGCCAATAAACAATGCCTAGGACTTTAAAATAAATAGCGCCATTTATTAACACACTTTGTTTTTATTTCCTTTGTCGACAGCACAATGAAACATTTACTTAGACGGTTTAGTTTTGCCTTACCAACGTGAAACTGAACACCGAAGCTAATCAACAACAAGTTCAATACACGCATACACTTATGATTATATAAACGTATAGGATACTTCGTACTCAGTTAAATCATAGTTCGTAGCTAGGCGTAGTCAAAGTGGCCGAGAGGCATTCGTAAAATCTGCAAGTTAAAACTAAGTAACAAAAGGTTATAAAATAATTTATGCGTCTCTTCATATTCTTCATAGAAATCACAGCGAGAATTTTGTTTGGTTTTCTTTGGTTTTCGTTTTGTGTACGCATTGTTTAAGTTGCATTATTCAAATATAAGTATGTATTTATACCTAGTGTTGATGCTTTCAGCAACATTGAGACATACAGACATCGAAACACATTTAACATTACATTTAAACAATGCTATTTTAACATACGAGTATAACGTATTAGATACTCTCCCATCTCAGCTTACACTCTAGTAAATATCGTTTGTGCAACAATTCAAAAACATTTCAGGTTGCTCTTCAATTGACAGATTTTTGGTTTTAGTTATCAAGAACACACCAGCTATGAACAGCTCAAAAACCGATGTAATACCTATTAGCGATAGGATATATAATGGATGCTGTCTTAGCTCGGTGTAAAAATATTTTGCTGGGGAATGCAACATTTAATTTAGCACGGAAAAATATTTCCTTGAGGGGTTCCTTAGTGAAAGTACTTGGAAATACCCAGCATAAACCATACATTTTAATTTACCAACTTGCCAATCATATATTATTTGTGTTTATGCATTTAAGAAGACGTTTGTAGTTTATCATTTACACTTATGAACATTAAATTCGATTTCTTTTGCGCACGCATGCGACTGCAATTCACACCCTACTGCAACACACATAGGAACCTTACACACCTACGCTCCTTTGCAAGGACTCTGCTCCCAACTTACACCTACCTATCGAATGCCTAGCAGTTCTAACAATGCTCCTTGGTACCCAGTGGAAGTGCAACATTTGCTTTCGTACATTAGTTTATGTGTGATATGGAATTCACGTTGTTGGTGCCCTGAAACGCTAACTGAGGAACATCTAAAGCTACAATAAATGCGAGATCGTACAGGGGAGGGGAAGCTGCAGGTACAGTCGAACTTCTCTAGCGAGAACCCAGAACTGAAATGGTTGTTCTGCCACCGTGCTTACACATGTTACATAGACCTTTTCAATATGATATTACATTTAGGTGTGAGCATTTTATGGGTATTTTTAGTTTTGCTGTTTACTTAACTATTGTTTCCTTCGGTTCTCAAAGAATGTCTTATTTATCTGCAGTTTATTGGAACAAACTTAAGTAACCTTGCCAATTTGTAGGTACATATTATATGTATAAGTTACTAGTTATCGTTCTCTGTGGTTTTGATAACTGGAAACGCATCCTGCCAAAGAAGTTCGACCCTACTGAGTACTGGCAAGTCTAAACCATCCAAACGCTACACCCTTGCCCCAACCATTAACGCTACCTAGACCATTACCATTACCATTACCATATCCTTACCGATAGTCCTACCACTAAGGCGCAGCGAAGCGCCTTCGGTTTGTACATATTTACACGGCTGCCTCGCATCGCCTACGTGCTGACATCCTGCAGGAGTCCGGTCCGCGGACTACTGGCGCCGCCGCCAGCTGTGCCCAGTGCGGGCACCGATCCGTTCGTGCTGCTGATGAGCACCATGCTCCGGCTGTTGGGCAGCACAAACACCTCGGTGGTCAGCTGGCCAATGGGGCTCATGGACTGCGAGGTCTTGATTGGACTGCGGTTGGGTTCCAGCGAGGCAGTGCGGGGCTGCCAGTCCTGGGATGAGTTCTCCGTGGAGGATTGGCCGGGCATCGAGCCACCGCTCTCCAGCGTTCCGGGCGCCGTCTGCGTGGAGCACTGGCTCTCGTTGGAGAGCAGTCGCGTGGTGGTGGAGGTGGTGAAACTGGCCGCAATGGTGGTCACCGAGCGGCGCTTCTTCTGCTGCGCGGAGCAGTTCGATGAGCCCGAGGAGGATGTTAAGGGTGTTGCTGTGGTGGTCACCGTCTCCGTCACGTTGAAGCTCACAATTGTGTTTTTTTTCCTCAAGGTGGTGGTGGTTGAGCTGCTGGTTTCACCCCGCAGATTCTGCTGCTGCTTGTTGCTCAGGTCGGAGAGACTGATGTTGTTCTTGAGCAGGATCTCCAGGTTCTCAATGGAGTCCTTCAGTCCAATCTTCTCGTCCCGGGCTATCTCATCCTTCAGATCCGCCACTAGTGTCCTCGGCGGAGCAGTGGGTGTGGCCAAGGACTTACTGGCGCCCCCACACTCCGAGCAGCTGTCGGTGGCGGTGGGATTCGCATTCGACAGTGGATTACCGCCGCGCAGGATGGCGGGCAGAGCACCAATGGTGACCACGCTGGAGCTGTTCGAAATGCTGGGCGTTATGCCCGTGGAGCTACTCACCGTTGTGCCGAAGGAGGAGGATATATTGTGCTGCCGGCAGAGCGACTTCCTCCGCTGCGCCGTCAAGTTCTCCATATTGGAGTTCATATCGATGTCGGGCGAGGGCAGCAAGTCGTCCTCCTGCTCCGTGGAACCCTGCTCCTTGACCTGTTCCTGCTGCTTCTCTGCTGCTGTACCAGCGGCCATCTTTTCCGGCTCCTTGGCCAAGGTCAAGGTCTTTGGCGGCTCCACCTCGGTCCTGGCCAGCTCCAGCTCTTTGGCATCTATGGGCCTCCTGCCCTTGAGGAAGTAGGTGATCATGGAGCCCTTGCCCTTCACGTCCACGCTGCCGCGACAGGTGAGCTCGAAGCCACGCCCCTCCAGTATCTGCTGCATCTCCTGTGTCACCTGGTGACACGGGTGTGGGAGGAAAGAGGCGGGAAGAGAGAACGAGCGATAACATAAATTCCGTCTGACAAGTTCAACGGCTCAGCTTTTATTTATGCACCCGCTCACCCAGGACGCCACTGCTGTCCCACTCCCACACCTGCGACATGCTCCTCCAATTCCCAAGTTAATCCCCCCGAGCGTCGTCCGCTTAATAATTTACTTTGCTTGCAAATTTGGTTCCCTTTTTTCTCCGTTTTATTGACAACATCGCAGCACGCAGATAAAATCAAGTGCGCATTTTTATTTGGAGCCGTACGCACGCATATCAATACATTAGGGTGGACCATGATCGATTAGTAACAGTGTGCGAAACAAATAGCTACCATGTTAAAACTATTTGGTATCAATATTTTTTAACTATTTAAACCGATGTCTCAATTTATTTTGTAAATTGTAAATTAAAAAAATAAAAGTTACTGACATTTTTAAATTAGGCTTTGAATAAAATCTGTTGAGCAACAAAATAATAAAATAATAATTAAAATGCTAGCATTTGAAATTAAGTTCACCCTTATTCCAAAGTATCTTTATCTTTATTTGTCTACCTACGCATATCTGTGCGCTCTTCGCACCTGTCTGAGTCCGAAAAGTTTTCGGTGACACTAAAACTTTTGCACTGAAGTGGTCAGCCCAGGTGGCCATTGATTAGGTGGGCGTGGCAGCGCCCCTAAGTCCCAGCCAACAAGTTTGGCAACAACATCTCGCCGGCTTTTGCAACAAGCTCGAACTTTTGATGTCAAACGTGATACATCCCGCTGAGTGGCCGCGATTAGGCGATGATGCCATTAAGACTCACCTGGATATGATCCACCAAGCCTGTGGAGTCCATTCGCGAGGCCACGTTGACGGCGTTGCCCCAAATATCATATTGCGGCTTGCAGGCTCCAATGACGCCGGCCACTACAGGACCAATATTTATACCTGCAAACACACAAGTTGCGAGACCAAGGAACACTCAGAAAAATAATGTTTACTGTTACTGCCTTAGCAAATTGCAAACTTTTTGAATGCATAGTTATATGGATTGAAATAGGTCATCTTACGAACTTAACTCTCAGTAATGAGTTATGATCATTGATCTCATTGATCTGATGACGTTTTTATCTGCATCTCACACATCCTTTTGGGGCAAAAGCACTCACCTATTCGCATGCGAAAGTTGTTGAAGGAGTGCATGTTGACCTCCTCGATCTTGTCGAACAGCTGGAGGGCGTAGTCGGCCATGGCGGTCACGTGGCTGAAGTTGACCCGGTCGCAGGTGTTCGCCGTGAGTCCGGATGCCGCCATGTAAGTGGCGCCCGTGCTCTTGATTTTCTCGATGCAGCTGCCGGAGGAAGAAGCAGAGGGCGCCCGGAAATGGACCAGCACGCAAAGTGGTTAAAGCCGTTTAGGCCAGAATGGGCAAGGGGAATGGGAATGGGATGGCGCTGGCGGATGGGGACTCACCGGAAGCGCTCCTCGCTGAGCAGCTCGTCGAAGTCGGCGATAATCTCGTTGAGCAGCCGCAGGCACTCCACGCCCTCGTTGTTGCCCTCCAGTTCCACGTAGAACTCGGAGAAGTTGGGAATGCTGGCGAACAGAATGCACACCGAATCGCACTGCTCGTGGTACAGGTCCTGCAACAAAGTCCATCGAAAATTCAATTACAATCCGGCTGGCTGTGGCACCTGTTTATGGCTGTGCAACTGCCAGTGATTGGAAAAAATCAATGAAAACTATGCTTTGCTTTATTTCGTGCATCCCTAGAGTTTGTAGATCCTTACACCTAATAACCCACTTTTAAGTGTTGTGTTAAGTTAAGTTAAGTGTTTTTTTAAGTATGTTTCTCATACTAAACAATTCTCATAGATATAAACAGGCACAATGCCTTTTGGAAAATATGTTCTCGTTTCTTGGCTTCATATCGAACTTTTTCTCACTGTGCTCGAGCTTGCCAAGCTCAAGTTGAGCTCGTTGGCTTTTGTCCCGCTGCCAAAGTGGCTGCTCGTTGGCCATCAAATGCGGCTGCTAAGCCTGTTGAATTTGCATTTAATGCGGGCGGCTGCCACGCCTCCCACCCGACCTTCCACCTTGTGGCAAGTGCAGTGAGATGTTTTCCGGCCACATACACGTGGTCACATCACAATTTGCATCCCGAAATCTGGGACCTTTCGCCACCAGCCAACTCGAGGCTCTGCTGCTTCTGCATGTGAGCATTTGGAGCAGATTTCACAGCCCCAAAGTTTTTTAATATGCTGAACAGTTTGCGGCGTGCCTCATGAATATATGGCCACTGCACACATATGTATGTACTTGTATATGGCTAAACTCGGTACATACAGTTGTGCCCAGCGAGGTGACTAGTCTGATGGATCCAAAATACCCTACTTTAAAGGTCATTTAAAAATGGCGGCATACCTTGGGCTCATTTAGTTGTTATTTACAATTAACTTGATGTGCTCAAGCTAAATTTGGTTATATATTGCAAAAACAAGCTATAAGCTGTATTTAAAAGTATGTTGTATTTCGTGAAACAGTTCCTAAATCCCTAAGCACGCAATTTGGCTTGTTCCTATCACAGCCAGCCAATTTCGAGCTAATACTTAGTGCCATTTACTGGGCCATGTCTGTATTTAGTGGTATTGGCTGGTGTATTTGTGTACTTACGTCAAGGTGCTTTTCGCGACTCAGAAAATGCTCGGCGACGTGAACGGGCAGAATGTTTTCGAGCAGTTTGCGGTTATAAGCCTGCAGGTGCTCCATATCCTCCTTTTCCTCTGTGAAATAAACGAGAAAGGAGGAAAAACAGCGACGGAAAACCGGGAAAAAGAGGGCAAAAAAACATAAGCGTGAAATTGAAATATCAGTTTATCAGTTTACCGAAGCGGAAAGTAAAAGCGCCAGAACAGAAAGCACACAGCTCAAAACACATTTCCATTGCCCGAAAAAGGGAAAAGCCGGGGAAAATGTTTTCCAATGCTCGTCTGTGTGGGTGGAAGTGCAATTGTGCACTAATACTAATGAAGTGGCTTATGCGCTGAAAGTTTTCCCAATCCCTCAGTCGCATTTCCTCAGAGGCATCATTTCAAATCACTGACAGTGTGTCAAAGCGGGAAAAGCGAAGTCAGGAATGAAGGAAAGTGGCTCCCAACTTTCCAACTTTCGAGTCCTAATCAGCAACATCATTTGATGGGTTTCTATTGGGCTTAAGAGGAATTAGCCAAATTCGTTTGTTCCATGCGTATACTTAATATTCAACTGGGAAGTTTAAACATTAATGAGCTTTTTACTTTACAAAATGGTGAGGCGTTCATATAGGGGTAAGTAATTTAAGTTTAAGATAAGAAATTGAAATGATAACATGCTTTATACTCTTGAATAGCTATGAATAGTTCTAAGTTGTTAATTCAGTTTACCCTTTAGTTGTGTACTAATGAACCATTTGAAGCAACCATAAATTGAGTTTGTAAAGTGAGAATTTAGTGATAGATAACTAAAATCGAATCCAGAAACTATTTGCTTGAACGTTCTCCTTGACAGCTTCAACTTTTAAACTGCATTTGCAAGTTGGGAACAAGGACTTGTCCGTGGGACAATTAGAACCCTTTGCCTGCCTAACTTTCCACTCCGGGAGTAATTAAACGTGTCTCACCCGTGGCTTGCAGCTTCCAGATGAAGTCCAGGCGGTAAGTGGCCTCCGTCTGGTGGCTGTGGAAAATCAGGGCCAGCATAAATGCAAAGAGGAAGATGGAATCAATTATGTAGCGCAGCAGGGCCTCCTCGTTCCTGTGAGTCCGATGGTGCAGCGCGGCGAGCAAAGGTGCAATTGGCCCGAAGTGGCGACAATGACCAAGTTATTCCGGTCCATTAAAGGGTAATACGGCGGCAAGGACGAGAAGAAGAAGCGGAGGGTTTACTGCGGCACTTGATAAATGAATCCAGCTGGATTCGCATTCAGAGTCGGTGCTAAATACAATTTTAATGCAGTTTGCGGCTGCCGTAAATGCAATTCAGCTGGTGCCCTCGTCTCGGCAAAGTTCTGCAGCCCCTGTCACCCCTGTGACCCGCTGAACCCAACTGAAATTGCATTACGCCATAATTCGTTTTCATTCAGAGATAGCGCAGCTGCCTCGCCGAATGCGGAATGCGGAATGCAGAATGCGGAATGTGGGTTGTAGAAGGGATGTTGCATGTTGGATGTGCTACTTACGCCAGCTCTTGGCTCATTTCCCTGCTGCGCGAGTACAAGTAGGAGGAGCAGGCCATGTAGCTGCCGGAGGCCAGGAGGAGCAGCAGCAGCTTCAGCAGGATCCGCAGGACCTGGTAGGTGGCGCAGCTCATCATCGAGAGCAGCGTGAGCAGCAGGAAGGTCTGTGGGCGAGGAGGACGAGCGAGCGAATCAAGCAATTATATATTCAGGACCCACCCAAGCCCACTCAGCAAATAAACGCGGAACAATTGCTGTTTACTCCTGCCACGAGTGCCACATACATGTGTGCTCGGCAAATGTTGATGTCGCAACTCGAACTTGGGAATAAATATACTTTCTCTGGCGCAGGATTCTTTACGCCTAATGGCGAAAGGAATTACCGCTTGAAGCTGCCTTCTATCTCTAATATACCTGTCTTTATGCTCAGTGCACTCACTCACATTGTAGGCCAAATAGAAATCGCAATCGGGTTCCTTGGCGGCGGCCATCTGGGTGTGGAACTCCGTGTCATTCAGGCTGAGGCTGCCGTTCACGTCCAGCCAGAAGCGTCTCCTGTGGAGCAACTCCAGTTGGCGGCCCGATTCCTGAAACTAGGGAGAGCACGGCTAATTAGCTGTCCGGTCATGAATTTCGCATTAGGCAAGCTTAACGATCTCGGGCAGATTTTAACGAGCATCCAACAGGTCCTGGCCCCGAGATTGGCCATTAGGCCGCCCAAAATGAATACGAACGCCCCTCTTAAAGTGCCATTAAACGCGGCCCGAAACAAACAGCAAAGTGACAACGAAATGTCAAGGAACTTCTGGCTCGAGACTTGCTGCAGACAAAAGCCAAGGGGCAGGTAACAAGTTGCCCATGAGGCCACCGCGCACTTCATCATATGAGACAGGATGCGGGGATGCCAGGACTCGTTCCTTACCCCGCGCTGCCTGGACGAACTTTAATGGAAAAACTTTTGTTTTGACGCGCCCCAAACGAAACAGCAACGCGGAACGCAACAAGCGCCCCCGATTTGTTTGGACTACAAAACGTAAATTATTTGTATTCCTTTTAAGAGGTCGCCCCTCTAAAACACCCGCGGAATTTTACTCTGGAGTTTCTAGTCGGAAACTTTTCCTCTAAGCTCGCATAAATGCACAGCAAAAACCTAACTTGGCCCGAAAACAAAGTGAATGTGGCAACCAGCCAGTTAAGATTCATTTTTATTCCTCGCAGCTAAAATCACCTCCAAACTTGCCCATCAAAGCGTTGGGTTACTCCACTCTACTTCACTTTGTTGCGCATACGCAGTGTGTGCCGCATAAAAGTCAAAGAAATGGCATAAATGAAAAGCAACCATTCATTTGACACCGATTTCTGCCTTTTACAACATATATTTGAGATTAAAAAACTTTGACTCATATAAATTGTGATGAATAAAATGAAATGTATGTTGATAGCAGAGCGTTTTTGTTCTGCTTATTTATTTACCCTTAAAAGTAAACGCAGTGTTGGAATATGAGAGATTTATTAAAATCATTTGTTTTAGTAATGAAATTAAAAATTTTGACTCATATAAATTGTGATGAATAAAATGAAATGAATGTTGATAGCAAAACGTTTTTGTTCCGGTTATTTATTTACCCTTTAGAGTAAACGCAGTGAGAGATTTATTAAAATCATTTGTTTTAGTAATGAAATGGAAACACGGCAGGTTAAAAGCTTCAATTATAGTATTTGAAAAACTGCGATATTCGCGATGAATTTCATAAATAACTGCAATTAAATGACCACTCAATTTTTTGTAAGACCACAAAGAGTAGCTCTGAATTAAATTAAAGTGCGCAGCGTCACGTGTCTTTTTTAAACTTTGCTCAAATATTTAAAGCACATTACGGGGCCAGGCAATTAATGCAGATACCAATTATAATATATTCATACTCACCATGGCCAGCAGGGTGGTAAGGACAATCAGAGCGACACTCGCAAAGGCGAACAACTGGGATACTCTGCGATTGCTATGAATGCGCAATGAGAAGCGTTTGATGTCCGATGGCAGCTAAAAAGTTTTGCATTCCGCCGAATGAAAAATGCAGAACGTCCACATCCACCCGCACTTTCTGTGTGTACTCACCTGAAAGTTGATTTTGTGACATGCCACCAGAAATACCAGGAACCCGAGCAGCAGCAGAGCGCCGGTGGACAAGGCCAGAGTCAGCAGGGAGCTGGAATGGAGGAGGGGTTGCCAATTTAAATGGCCACCAACTTTTTCGGCAACACGTATACGCAGTGGTGGATGCAAAACAGCTCAGGGCCCAGCGGCTCGCCTCGCTTGAACGCCTCGAAAACATCACCTGCAATGGTGGTTTCCAGCTCATCCGCGCCCTGTCCCGTCCCAATACCACTCCCAATCCCACTCATGGCACTCACCTCTGGAACACCACCAGCCGCATTATGCTGGTGCCGAGCAAGACCAACAGACTGCAGTAGAAGTAAACACACAACATGCGATCTGGTTCGCTGGCGTACTGAAAAACAGAGTGGTAAAAGCACGGCTTAGATGTGCATTATGCAGCTATATTTGTTTACTGTGTAGGGAACAATAGTGGAGCAAAAAAGTATTTGGTCCTTGTTGCTCATTTCAGCAGCAAATAACGTACGGTGTAAGCCAGGGCACGCAAATGAATTTGTATATTTATATTGCGCATTCTGAGGGCTTTAAACGTTATTTAAGGGCGTGTTTTATTCTAGAATAATAGCAAATGTATCAGCCACATAAAATATGTGTATCAACCTTAAAAAACAAGATAGAATGCTATAGTCGAGTTCCCCGACTATCAGATACCCGTTACTCAGCTAGTGGAAGTGCAAACGTGAAATTTCCAACATTTTCTGAAATATTCCTGAGATCGAGGCGTTCATACGGACAGACAAACGGACAAACGGACATGCCCATATCGACTCGGCTATTGATCCTGATCAAGAATATACATATATATTTTTAATGGTCGGAAACGTTTCCTTCTGCCTGTTACATACTTTTCAACGAATCTAGTCTAGCATTTTACTCTACGAGTAACGGGTATAATTACAAAAAAAATTCAATTTAAAAAATGTTATAAATTTAAATGCAGAGAGAATTCCCGCAGAAACATTTAGAGGTACGCCACATCAAAATGCGATTAAGATATGTTGAGTTATGGAGTTTAGAACTTCAGCCTTGGCACATTATTTTAATTTTTCGAATTTCTTGGGAAATTTTTTAATTTTTTGGAAGTTTTACTATATTACTATTAATATCACATCAAAAAAACTCCAAAAAAAGAGCATTTATTTATCACCCCTAGCTGGGCAGGACAGATGTGATTTTCAATCGAAAGTATCTATCAAGTACTGAGTATTGAATTGATGTAAGTGTACCTTCCTCTCCAGGACGTTATCCTTGAAGCAGAGCAGCAAGGACTGGCAGTGCTCGGCCCTCAGATGATCGATGCTTCGGGCATCGATGGCCCGCATCAGATACTCATTCACCTCATCCTCGGGATCCTTGGCACTCTCGGAACTGTCGCCGAACCCAAATCTGCGATAAAATAAAGGTAGATTACTTTGCCAACAGTAATCGAGTAATAATTAGAACATACTTTGAAGTGTGCTTTTGGGCCGTACCATGACCCATCATACGAAGTTCTTTGGAAATATTGCCATTGACCTGCAAGCGATTTCTGGACTTTTTGTGCTGAAAATAGGAATGCATTGTGTAGCCAAGGCAACCGATTATTACTGAGGACTGCGACTTACTGGCCTATATATATCTCCTGGCACAATTAGGTACGTTTCTATCTGATGATCCTTGAGATACGAGTTGCGCTCGTTTCCCTTGCCGACCTCCACTTCATAATCGCCATCCAGACACTTCAGGGTCTCCTTGGTTATGTGAACGCGTCTGAAAATGTCGGAGAAAGGGAACAAGAGGACATACGAGGTTGTAATGATTATCTTTATCAGCTTAGGGGTTCCTTTTTGTTTTTCCTCCTGCGGTTGGTCAGTTAAACACAGGAAGGGACAACATTACACGGCACATGTACCATTCTCCACGCCCACATTCTAACCAACACCTTCGCCCTTGTGACTTGTTTATCCGAGCTCACTAAATAGTTTTTTAATGCACTTCTGGGCTGGAGACGAGGAGAGACCGGCAACAGATGCCCCTGGCTTCCTGAGATCCTTTGGCTGCCATGAAACTGCTGCCTGTTGTTGATTCTATTGATAATTACACGACGCTTTGTTATGGATTGCTGTAGTCCACGTTCCCCGGAGCATTCCACTTCCTCCTGCTGCTAACGAACTTTTTACATGCCACGCCGGCTCAACTCTCGGCTAAAATTGCAGCTTATCGGGCAGCCCAGTGAGACCAAGGCGATGGCTTCCACTTGGCCAACACCCACTGCAGCTATTTGCTTTTAATTTCACCCGGGACAGGACTAACAAACGAGCTGCCGTCGCCCGGCTGACCCAAATAAACTCAACAGTTACTTAAACTTCCACCCAAAGTCGCAGCGTGAATATTCACAAAAAGTCAGCTCTGAAGGAAAGTGCGCAAGGAAAAGCTCGAAACGGGGGAGTACTAGACCAGTACTTCGACCCTTTGCTATCTATTGTTTTGGGACCTTTCAACCGGCTTTAGACCCAGATTAAATGGGTGCAACTACGGCCAAGGTTACTTCTTATGCGTACCTCTCATTTACTGAATATGTCTTTAGTTTATTGCAAAAACTCACCAAAATATCATACAAATAAAAACGTAACAAACTCCATATAAGAAAATATTCTTATATTATGTATTTTGGTTTATTGTAAGAATTTACCAAAATATCAGACAAATAAAAACGTAATAAATGCCATTTAAGAAAATATTCTTATATTATGTGTCATCTCGTTTATTGCAAAAATGTACCAAAATGTCAGACAAATAAAAACGTAAAAAATGTCATACAGAAAAATATTCTTATATTATGTGTTTTGGTTTATTGCAAAAATGTACAAAAATATCAGACAAATAAAATCGTAAAAAATGCCATATATTTTTATATATATTTTTTATTTTTATAATATACTTTTTATAATATATGACATATAATTTTAAAAGAAATCGTTGTTTTTATAAAAATATATATACACTATGATTTATATTGCCATTACTTTAAATGAGAAAAATTTGATTTAAAGTTGAAAGTGTTTTACTTAAGTACAGAAACCTCCACACTGCAGTTGAATATTTTTCCTAATAATTCTATATGAATCAGAGCATCCTGATACACCTTTGGCAACACGAACTTCTGATGCCGGGGTATCCGAGCAGAAACAAATTGCTCAAGTGTTGAAGTGAGTGCAGCTGAATCAACAGCAACAAAATATTGTTGTGGGGCACTTATCAGAGGGGCGGTGGGCGGAGTGGGTGGCGAGGGTGTGGCGCCCACTTTGTGGGCCATAATCGATTGGGCGGCTATCTCAGTGGGGCGATGGGTGCTGCACTCGTAAGTTACCAATAACTTGACGCCTTCAGTTAACCACAAGTCGCATGCAAAATACTGTGTGTGTAGGGCAATTACAACGATTAAGACCACAATGGAGAGACGCACCCTCGAGTCGATGGACGATGAACGAGGGACTCAAAGGACGAAGGACAACCGCAGAGGGGCGACACTTCTGGACTTTCTAGTGTCTTCATAGGAGGTGCTTCACACAATACAACTTCTGGTCGGCCACAACAAGTTGGCTTTAATTGTGCAGCGCTGCTTTTATTGGCCAGAGTTTTCGGGTACGTAGGATATTCCCTCCTCCACTTGCCATTATTCACAGCTGGCGCAGGAAGTTGCCCCAATTGGCCGAAACGGGATTTTCAATGGATTGAATTGGATTTGCCGGCAGAATGAAATTGAATTTAGCGTGGGAAGGGCAGCAAAATGAATTGAATCGAAGGGGATTTCGCATGCCTCGACCACAAAACGCCCAAGACAATGGACACTTTTGAAGTGTCAACAGATGACAGCCAAAGACGCCAGATCGATTAATCTCGGCTAGAAGATTAAATAGCACTCACCCGGGAATCCCACCACTCTCCATGTGGTTGGCCAGCGTGACGTCATTGGACCAAACGTCGAACTGCCACTTGACCAGGCCCAAAACGCCGCAGTGCACCCGGCCCGTATGGATGCCCACTCGCATGTTCACATTCACGGCCATCACCTCGCGCACCAGGCTGCAAAGAAGAAGGGAACGGAAGCAAGTTGCTTTGTTTTATGTGTATATAAGCGCGGATTGTACATTGGTAGTGGAACCAACAAATTATATTTATGGCAGCATGGTAAAGTGACAATGTCCAACAGAACCCGGGGAATGTGATGAAAGGAACTCCTTTCCAGCCACAACAAAGCCGCAAAACAGCAGCTCCTTTGTGCTTCTGTTTGCTGACACGGATACTCACGCGATGGCGTCAATCATATCGAGTCCCATTTCGACGGCACAATGGGCGTGATCCGGACGGGGTTCCGGCAGTCCGGAGACGCAGTAGTAGCAGTCGCCCAGCAGCTTAATGCGCAGACAATGGTGCTCCGCAGCCAATCGATCAAAGCTGCAATGGAAGTGGAGAAGCGGAAACGGAGGAGTTGGAAATAGGACGGGAAAATCGCCACAGGAGCTGTAAGTCTAAGCCAGTTTATCCTGACACAAGAGCAAAGATAGGGGCCCAAACGAGTATCTTATCCACCTAATAGACAAGCTTTTGTTTCGAGCTATCAACAACTTTAAATTAATTAAGCGCTGAATAATTTGATCAAATTTCCCCAAAGGCACCCGCAATTTACTTGTGCAGCCACAGTCATCAAAAATTCTCCAGTAAACTAATATTCTAGGAGGGAAGCCCTTTCCCCAATTCTTAAACTTTATCAGTGCCTCAGCCATAAAAACAGCTTGTTACCAGTGCCTAAGCTCGGTTACAAAGAGGTCAGCAGGTTTATTTGTTTGCCCCAAGGTCGGTTTTCCTTCGTGCAGCTGGAGCAATTAATACAGCCACAGGCTCTGTCTGGGCTTCGATTTCACAAATAAGAATAGGGCTCAGACCGATAGACGTGCACTGCGAAAAATGTTGGAACTTGCTGAGTTTACTTAAGATTTGTTCTGGCTAAAACCCTTTTTGGATTCGTGCTGCCCGTTGTCTGGCATTTTGCATGGTTCACTACTTGTAACTAATAACTATGTAACTAATATTTTAATATTACGTTAATTAAAGTATTAGTAGCCCATTAGTATCCTCTTTCGTGGCCAGTGCATGCATTGTTTGCCATTAATTATGACCACAACTCCTGGCCGTCCCACTGCTCCACTCAGCTGCCACATGCAACATCCACTGCGCATCCGAATCCGAATCCGAATACTCACCGGGCAAAGAGCTCGTTCAGCAGACGCACCAGTTCCTCGGCGGTGCACTGATCCGAGAGGCTGGTGAAACCGCAGATGTCCGCAAAAAGGATGCTGGAAATGGAAAAGGGGAATTGTGAGCTCGTAATAGCGGTACCAGGAAAAGCAAAAAGCCACACGGATAGTTTTTGATTTTGGAAGCATAGCAGAGTAGCATTTTTAGCCACAAGCAGAGGTTTTTTGCTTGTGGGACATATTTTTCTTTCCTTTTTTAAAACGAAATCATAAAATGAAGCTAAGAGGTATCAGAGGTATGCAGTGTAATAATATTGCATTTCAAAACAGTCTGCTCTTTCGCACTTAAAGCTTACTGCTGCATACTTTGTAAGTTATTTAAACCTGGAATTGGTTTAATATGTCTCAGAAACAGGAATATTTCCTTTACCTTAAATATCTATTTAAGAACCAACTTTATGTTCAGCCCATTCTAATATATTCAATTTTTTCTTTAACAATACTGGTAGGATTTCCATAGGAGCCTCCACATCTTAAAGTTATGGAGATTTGCATATATTCCCCTGTCTATTTCATCTTCCTTTATAACGCAGTTAGCTTCCCACTTCAGAAACATTATTTCCCCTGATTTAAGACTGAATTATGTGTCGGTTGTTTATTCCCCGAAATCTAACAATGTTAAATCCTTTTCACGTTACGCTTGGCCTATGCAACGTGGCCATGTGTTGACAGAGCCACGTTAGCACAGCCACTTGTTCTGTTTCTTTATTTTGCTGATTTTACGACTCGTAACTGAGAAGGGCTTAGTCGGCTCAGCGCGTAATTTAATACAAAATGGGCCGGGAAAAGTTTGGGGGGGTAAACATAAGGCCAAGTAACAATGGCAGCCCGAGGCGAAAGTTGAATGAGTAATGCTCTTTATTTTGAAGGAAATACCTTATTTTTATAATATTTTTGCTTGTAGTAATTCGTTGTAGTTACATAATGCCATTTAAGTTACTCAAAGGTGTAAGAAAATATTCAAAAACACCGGAATTTCTGGTCAATCCATATATGACAAAATAACAGTCTTAAATTTATGAACTCCTTGACTACCTTAACTTTCATTTGGAATACCATAGAGCTGAGTATCTTTTCTTATTTCCCCAGCAGTTTTTCACATTTTCCTGCTGACAGCTTGGAACAGAAATCCCAGCCACCCATTCTAAAAGGAAGCGGAGAAAAGGCGACAGACAAAGGACATTTCTGGCTCAAACAGGTGCGCCTCAAAGTATGCTTTATTATGCTCGGTTGACTGTTGTAAGCGTTTGTGTGCGTGCGTGAGTGTGTGTGTGGCTGTGCATCTGTGTGCGTGGCGCTGTGCACTTGGCTTTAGCTCCTTTTTGGCTTTGCATACAAATTCATTGCTCGCGTTACACGCTCAGACATTCAGAGACTCTCAGCCAAGCAATTTATTGACTTTGCATGCAAATATATTCGCCCACGCCACCCACGCCACCCACTTCCCCCTTTGGTCCACTCACCTGACGTTCTCGTGCCGCTGGATGTATATCTTATGGAACTGGGTGTCACGTGGCTGGCCCGCAATGTCGTCCTTCATCTCCATGGCCACATGACGCGGCAGCACCGACAGCAACAAGCGTTCCTGCAACAAATGTATCTGCATTAATACCACATATATCACTCTTCTGATATCGAAATCGCATTTTAAGTCAACTCTCGTTCGCGATCGGTATGCATAAATTAAATTGGGAGCTCGTGCTCTATAAAAATGGTGTTAAATTATTTTTTATAATTTTTAAAAGAAAGCATATTTAGAGGATTCCTAAAAATTCGCAGTTAAATGTTTCAAAGCTTTTCATTTTCTGTTCCGTTCTTATTTTTAGTCCTTACTCTGCGGAACCTCTCCACATGGAGCACCATTTTGCTGTTTTGTCAGGATAAAAGAACACCAAAATGTGAAGTAGAAGTGGATTATTGCAAAGAGCATGGGGTGGATGGATTAGTGCCCCGCTGCTACTCAGTCAAAAGTTCGTTTGATGCAAACAATTTGCGCGAAATTTGCCCAGAGTTCATTATTTCCCCTTTCAGATTGGCCTTTTTATGTGCCATACCCCATCCCATAAAACACCTGGAGATTTCTCCGGCTCTTTAGCTTGCCCAGTTAGCCAACTCAATATTAATGGAATGAAGTGAGCCTAGCATTCTTCTTAAGAGTTGAGAATTTAAGGTGCCAGATGATAAATACAAAATGAAACATGGCCCATAATTAGTTTAAATCCACTTCCCACAACCTGGAGAGATTTCCTTTCGAGTTCCACTCACCTGCTGTTGGTTTTCGCGCTGAGTCCGCAGCCTGGCCTCGATGCACTGCCTCGTCTCGATGAACGCCTTTCTCTGGGCCTTCTCCTTCGGCCAGTGGGTGTAGACGCCGGTGAGGTTGGCCAGGAGCAGGGCCACCAAAGTGCAGAGGAGCTGCGGGCGGAGATTGTGGCATTAATGACATTACGAGCCATAAATACGGGGCAAACAACACTTAGGCGGCTGCGAGGAGCTGGAGCGCCCTCCACATTCTCGATTTCATTCAATTTGGCGGCAATTTAATTTCATTCCATTCATGTTTACTCCCAGGCCCTTGGACACGTGCCACTCTTAGCTGCCGTTTTCCCCCCTGATTTTCCCGCTCCCCGCTCCGTAAGGACTGCCAATTAAAGCTAGATGTCCTGCCCTTTCGCCCCTTTAATGCGCAGTGTTTCCATTTTATTATTCGCTAATTCAATTTGCATTTGCGGCTCGCTGAAAGTGGCAAACCTGTTGATGCTCTATTTGATGCATAAACAATAAAATCGAATTTAGTTATGCGACACCCAAAGCAATGTTTTCTTTCAAGCTGATGTGTACTAACGACATGGATTAGCTATTAGATTGGATTGTATCAAAATATACTTCAGTTTAAACATGGGAGAACAGCCCAGTTGTTGTACACTAGAAACAAATGGTATAATCCTATATCCTAATCCAGCGCCTCAATCCAGCCAATTGAAATGCAATCTGAAAGCCCGCCTATTGTGTAATTAAGCTAGCAATTAAATTGGATATCATTCAAGCAGCCAGCAATTCAGCAATCCGAAGAGCACATGTTTCCCCACGCGCCTCGCACTCACCTCCCCCCAGTGGATGAATTCGACCACCTCATCCTGCATCGCGGTGAGCCTCAGGCAGGTGTACAGATGGACGACGCTCAGGAGGATTCCTCCGATCAGAGCCTCCCGGAGGCGCAGGGGCAGCATCGTGTAGGTCATGTAGATGAGGACGATGCAGCAGGCGCTGCCGTTGAAGGATTTGCTGCCGGAGGAAATCGGACACGGGAAGAGCGATTAGGACACTGGAGCACAGGTGCGGTTGTTTGCTCAGCATGATTCCAAGTTCTCGCAATTAGCGAGCCGTGAATGATTAATTTTGCCGAGCCAAGCAACAGCTGCCGTGCACTGAGGAAAACGAGAGGGTCTCCCTGGCAAAAGGACTTCTACAAAACATATGCTGAGCGATGTGAAAACTTAAAACACATGCGAGATACACATGGTAATAAGAAACTAAATCAATTTAATTAGCACTTTACGTTATAAGTATATGAGTGAGGTACCTAAATAAAATAATACTCAATATTGATTGCAAAGCAAACACACAAAAGTTTGATAGTCTTATTTTAAAGGAACTGTGATTTTGGTAGTAATCAGATACCAACCTGGGTTGCATCGCATAGCTGACGGCCACTTCGATGGCCAGGAAGGTGCCCAGAATGACGTAGGACACGAGCACCAGGAAGATCTCGTTCATGGCCGGCTTGGAGAGGATGCACAGCAGGACTGTAGGCGAACACAAAGGGATTAGCGGCCAAAGTCAGAAGTCACGCGGTGCGAACCAACTCACAGGCATAGACAATCCCGCAGATTAGCATGACAATGAGGAAGAGCAGCACGGACTCGTCCACCTGCATCAGGATCAGGGAGATGAGGTGGCCGTAGCCCAGGGGTGGGCCTGGATTATCGGTTGTAGCTCCAGCGTTTGACGATGCATTTAACACTTCATCACGTTCCGCTTGTGAAATTTGATTGTAGTCGCGGACACGCGGCGTATGCGTAATGTGTTTACTGCCAGCACTCCGCCCGTCATCAACGTCATCATCATCATCCGGCGCAACTGTGTACACATCAGCATCATTGGGGGCAGTGTCAACAATCAGCTGGGGCCGGATCCCTCCACCCTTAAACGCCCCAACGTCCTGCAGGCTCCGCTTCTCCCGCATCCTGTATCTGCAATAAAGTCCGAAATTTCATTTCACTCGCATCTCAATTGATGAAACTGCCTGCTTTGCGTTTGGCCATCTATCCGTCTTGCCAACTGCCGGCATTTATGGCCAGCGTAAATATTTGTGGCAAAATAAATCTAAATGTAAATGGGAATGGGAATGGACACCAGCTATTGATTTATGAATTGTCTTGTGGGTTTTTGCAAGAGTTATTTCTTTAGCCGCTGATGTCTTTTGGCTTGCCCAATACTGTGTGGATATGATTTTGTTGACAAATATTTGTGGAAAAACAAATTGCAGTAGGTGCTCAAAACTATGAAATGAATATTTGTGTTATTTTCTGGCAACTTGTTGAGCACGTTTATTTTTTCTTGTAGCATTAATCTCATCCATTTTACGTTGCAATTTCTGGAAAAGCTTAAATTTATTTTAAAGACTTAAATTTTCTCGTACTTCATATTTTTGTATAGTGTGTCTTATCTTAATTTCTATTGCTTATTTATAAAGCCCGCAAAAGTTCAAATTGCGAAATTGCATTTTAATACGTATATACAGTTGTCTTCTTGCTTTTTGCCTATTGAACATTAAAATGATTGCCCATCAAAGTGTTTTTATATTTAAGTTCAACAATAAATGTGTGATTTCCATATCCTTGAGTTAAAGATATAATAATTCATGAATTTCCATGGCCTGACGTTGTCTAGATTTTCCTGAAATTATATTCCAATATGCCTTTAAATTAAACTTTGGCTCAATTTTTCGCACTCGATTAAAGCCTCGTCATGGATTTGCTTGGATGAATTGTGGGCTAAAATTACTTTTCTTGGAGCTTAACTTGCTCCAGTGCCCCAGCCTGCTTTAAATTCAATTTGAGCCTACTTTGGACACACTTTTATGGGCTCAGCTCTTTTCGGACAGCCCAAAGTTGTTTCATTGAGTTTCAGCAGACCACCCGCAGTAAAACCTCAAATGCGAGCTGTGCAAAATATGAATCGCCTTTCGGGAAAGGCACCTTGTCGAAGCCCGGTGACCTGTCAAAACTGGCCTCCTCCTCACTTTCATCTATATTACACTCTCGAATTTCATCTGTGATGGTATAAGATTGCTTCTTTGTAGCTACAACAAGGAATATATGTATATGCATTACTAGACTAGCATTATAATTAGTGCAAACTGAAAAGAAAAGTGTTCTAAGGATGCACAGATGTGTGTTAGATTCTTTCTTTCTTTTAAATAAATGCAATAAATAATATTAATATATTTCAATGTACTTATGCACTGTTCATGAAAAGTAATTAAATTAAATAAAGTTCTGAAGTAAATATATTGTATGATCTAATGGGTATGAATCTAATTCACAACAAAAGCGTACCTTTAAGATTATATATAATTTTTATAAATATTAGCTACTTTGTACATATCTGCTCACCTGGCGCGATGCTGTTGGTGCGACTTGTGTTTGTATCGGTGTTTGTGGAGGCGTCGATAGTGTTTGCGCTTCTGGCGGCGCCACACAAGCCCGCCTCCACCCAACTGCCCATTATGGTCCGCTTCAAAATCGGCGAGGTTGCGGTTTTGGGCGGATTTCAGCTCACCGCCTCCCTCGGCGTTTGCCGCCCAGCTGCCATTGGAATCGAGGGCCAGGAGCGGAAAGGAGCTGTGCCGGGCCATTTGATCCGATGATGCCGGTGGTGGGGGCTTCATTGTGGCGGTCGTCCAGTTGCCCACGGTCGCATTTGCGTCCAGTCCGATTTCGCTGATTTCCAGCAGCAGCGAGGTGCTGCGCCGCAGCTGCAGCGTGGTGAAGACCAAGTGCGTGCAGGATAGGGCCAAAATGAGGGCCAAAAGCAGGGCCAAAATGTGCGTCGTGTTGCTCTGATTCATACGCAGAAAATACCGCTGATACAGCATTTCGACCTGATTGAAAAAGGAAAATTAACACACTTAGAGAATGCGCCAAACATTATTTATCTTGAAAAAGTGCATTTAAAAGTTTATTTCTTCCATAGTATAATAAACTGGGATACAGCATACTCTACGCAAAAATATAATTGAGACTCGAAGTCTTTCAGGATAAATCACCCATTTTGGAAATGAATTGCAGTTGTTACTAGAAAAAAGTTGAGCACGCTAAGTAGCAAAGTGAACAAAAAAGTTTGCCGAGGAACGACGGCGGTTGGGGAGAACTTTGAACTTGTTTGCCAAAGGATTTCACGGAAAGCTGGAAGCGTAAGTAGCTTACCTGCAGATTCTTGAACTGGTGGGTGGAGCAGAGGCGCAGGATAATGCGGTTCAAACGGAACCAGAACGAAATGCTGGGGCTCACAGGACCATTGGCAGTTCCGCCTCCTCCGCCGCTCGTCATCGGATTGTTGGCCTCCAAGTTGCTGGCATCGCCTGAAAGAAACGTACATGTGTTATATTGGGGAAAGGATCTCCTGGCAAGGCCTATAAGGCCCCACTTGCAAAAGCCAAATTAATTAGTGCCTAGCCAAAAAGTTAACCAGTCTTGAGGTTTAACTGAAATGTGATGCCATTAGCCCGGCAAAATGACTGCAAACTGCAATTTGAATTTGCAAGTTCAATTACAGCTGTTGCATTTTCACATTCGAGTTGGCTTACAAATGAGAAACGCATTGCAAGAGATTAAAATTATGTAAATTGTAGTCATAAATCTGACAGCATGAAATTGGATAGTTTTGTATTCGCCAGAGAGTTTTGATTGTGAATAGTCCGACTGAATGGGCCAGTAAATGCAACATTATTGTTCAATGAACTGGTTTTTGATTGAAAACGGGTTAAACGCTCGATGAAAAAGGCATATAAATTAAAAGCTAATAAAATAAATTCCTTTTACTCATTTGAATTGGCAGATTAATTGAACAGCCATCTAATAAACTAAAACGTTAATAATGTTTATGTTATGAGCATATTAATTAGACACTTTGTAAATAAAGCGAAAACAAATAAAATACTCAATTAAAATCATGAAAAAATCAGCTTGCTAACCTGACCTCCTAAACTATTAGCTTTTATTCAGATAATTAACTGCGATTTGCGGAATAACATATAAACCGCAAAATAGAGTGAAATAAATAAATTAAAATAAATTAAATACATTTTTTCTAAATCTTTTTCTAAAGATTTTCTTGATATATTTTTTAAAATGTGCTATTTATCAAGAAATTTTAATTTTTCACTAGAAAAATAATAAAATAAAAAAAATTTTTAATGTTTTGGTATTTCGATAGAAATTGGCAGGACTAATAATAAAACGAAAAAATGTGAAAACATTTGTGCGGCTTGGAGACGTTAGAGTGGGCATGGCAACATTTTTCAATAAGCTTGTATAGCTTCCGAGATCTTGACGTTCAAACGTTCAGACGGACGGACACACAAACGGACAGACATACGGACAGACAGACGAACGGACAGGCGGACATGGCTGGCTATTGATCCTGGTTAGGAATATATGCATATACCTTATGCGGTGGAAAAAGCTTCGTTCCACCTTTTACATACTTTTCAACGAATCTAGTTTAACTTTTTACTCCACGAGTAACGAGTATAAATGTGTTATGTATGTTATGATATTTTATATTTATTTTTTGGGTGACGAAACCCAAAGAAGACAGAAGAAGCCACCGCCTACACAAACCTAATCCCCGGGTTATTGTGACAATTCGAGTACAATTCATTCGCTTAACGTGTTATACACATTTTCGATTTGCCAGCTATTGTGTGAGTGGCACATCAGCGTCACTGCTCCTGACATTTTCCCTTCTGAGAATGGAGCCCTGATTTCGAATGCAGCGCACAATGGCATAAAATATTTTATTGTAAAATGGAGAACATCAGCCAAATCGGCATATTAAAATCATTCAACTGTCCCGTCTCCTGACCACAATGCAAAAAATAATAACAAAAACCTAACCACAACAAGGCGGGAAAGGCATGAATGGGATCTAGGAGTATGTTTTTATATGCATCAATAAATAAATGCCAAACGTGACTATGTAAATTCCCATAGATTTCTTCGCAGCCATTTCCACATACAGATTTCTATGGAAGCCAAGGAAAAGCAAAGGCTGGCTTGGTTTCTTTCGCAGGAAATACAAACTAAAATAAATCTGGGTGGTGGGCGGTTGGAGGCTAGTGATATAGATGCCCAGCATCCAAGGCAACCTTGTAGAGGGAAAAAGGCGATATGTGAGTGAAATGCCAATGGAAATTGACGAGGAAACGTGAGACGAGGGACGAGAGTGAAAAAAGAGACGAGACTGCGAAATAGCCTCGTCAAATTCAATATGACAATGACAATCAACTTGTGACATTTTGAGCGCTGTGGCCAGGGGAAAAATGTGCGCCGCTTTCCGCGCCCCCAGAAAACGGGGGCATGTGTGGCATACTGGTACTTTTATTGACCCGCAGTGGCTGCTGTTACGAGAGCTAAACGCCTTCCTATTACCCAAGATTTTTCCACATTTCTCCATTCATCTTACCTGGCTGCAACAGCTGCGTCTCGTCACGTTGGTAGATCATGGGGCTGTGGCAGGTGGAGCTGGAGTTGGTGGAGTCCATGGATTCGTCGATGTTGCAGCGCGTGATTCCAGCCTTGGGGAACAGCATGAGAATAGTACAATTATTATAGCTGACAGGTATGGAATCTCACCTAGGCATTTCAAATAAATGTAAATAAAATGCAAATTGTTGTGCAAATCAAACAAAAACTAGTAAGTTCGTTTTAATTGCAAATATTTGAGATTGGGCAAATAATACTACACATGGAAAAAGTGGAATAATGGTAAATAATACATTACATTGCTATAATTTACCAACATACGCATACGGTGCCTAATAATAATAAACACTCAGTAAATAGCATTCAGCATTCCTTTCTCTGCATTACAAATTCATTTGGCCTCCGAAAGTATGCTATGATTTTTTGCGTGGCCCGCAAACAATTGAACTAAACGTTTTGCCCACTCATGCACACTCTTACACACACACACACCAGCACAGCAGAACACACACTGCGGCAAGTGTGTTTGGCTCCCCGCGGCGTTTTTAAGCAAATTGCCGCCCATTTGAATGCCAGAAATGCTTTTTTGTAGCTCCTCTCCCTTTTTTGCCTTTTCAATTTGCTAAACTTTGTCAATTGACTCTTGACAGCGAACGCAAATAGAAATACTCACACACACACACGAGCAGACGTGTGCAGCTGTTAAGTGGCCCCCTGTGCATGTCAGCTCAGCCATGCAAGTGTGTGCGTGTGTGGGTGTCTGCCTGCAAGTGTGTGTAAGTTCCCAGACGTGGCTTGTTAGTTGGCATTAAAAGAGGTTTGTGTGGAGTAACGAGTATAAAACTATGTAGTAGTAAAAGTTATAAGAGAAGATACATTCAGCTCGCTTTTATTGGAAAATAAACATTGTAACTACCAACTCATTGCATAAAAAAAAATATCTCATTAAATTTATATTGAATGCTTTGCGAAATGGCTTAACTGAAACGAAATAAGATGTTTTCAATACCTAATGATATTCAAAAGTGCCAAAAGAATGGCATTAATGCAACCAACACCAAATATAACATTTTGCAATAAATTTGATTTTATACATTTTGTTCGACTATAAAATGAAATTCTATTATAACGCACTGAAACCCCAGGCAGCTGAAATTAATGAAACGCAAAATGAAATTAAAACAAACGTGTGCGGAAAAAAATTAAAGAGTTTTCAATTAGCCGCAGGGCATCCAGACCAATCCGAATTTCTGAATCGATTGCGATGAAACAACAAATTTAGTTAAACCAAATTGTTGTGACATGCAATCGGTTGCTAAAGCCAGATTGTTTGACTTTAAATGAATTTCCCAGGGCGACCGGATCGTCCCTTCTCAATGCCCATTAGCAAAGTGAACCCTCCATGAAATTGTATTCAAATGTAGCCCGGTCCAGCTTATTTGCGGCACAATCGAATTAAATATTTATGTGCCACAACAGGTGGAAGGAACATCGCATCCCAGATGGAGAACGATGGCGGTGTTGCCTGCCAGCGACGTTCTGTCCATTAGGCGGGCAAATTAATTGATTCCAGAATCCCCTCGAACTCACCGCAATCAAACTGCTGCTAACCACGGCCTTGCCTCCCTTGGCACTCGTATTGAAATGTTCGATCACCTCCCAGTTGGACTTCTTGGGCGTCGACGGCTGGGTCTGGGTCTGCGGCGAGCCCGCTCCGGAGGAGGCTCCTCCGCCGGCGCCCCTTCCCTCCTGGCCGGGCACGTGCAGCTCCATGGACGCCTGGTGGCTGCCACTTCCTCCCACTCCGCTGCCTCCTCCTCCTCCTCCTCCTCCTCCTCCGCTGCCCGCCTGACGCAACGAGGCCGAGCGGCTGAAGAACTTTCTGTGCTTGCTCTCCTGCGAGGAAATATGTAAAATGGTCAGTACACCGATGTAAAGAGAATTTAATGTCGAAAGTGGCCTTGAAAAAGAACAGCCACAATTTTCAGTCAGCAAAAATGTACCAATAAAAAGAGGGCTTAAAGAAAGAAAATTCTTTTCAATTTGGCTAAAGCAAAGAAGTGTAAATTATTATCTTTGCCATTAATACTTGAATCAACATAACAAGTTTTATAATCAAACCCAAATACAGGGAATGCTTTTAAATCTTGCATTTTAAACAATGAAATCTGGCTTGCAAAATGACAACCTTGTAAATTATAATTAAATCAGATGAATTCATATTCCTAAAAGAGTATACTTATTGCCAAAGTGCACTGGATAAGTTCCGGCCTAAGTTGCCCGTTCCCCAGAGAACTTTTACGCAATGATTTTGTGAGTGAGTGTTGAGCTCAATTAACTAACCTCCTTGCTGCTGGCCAGGCTCGAAGTGCCAGATCCTCCAGGACCTCCGGCTGCTCCTCCATGTCGCATTCCCCGGAGGGAGAGGCGCTTGGACCACTCGCGCTTCTGGCTCTCCGACGACAGCGAGCGAAAGATGTGGGTGGCACCACCGCCCACTGCGCCCACTCCGCCGGAACCAGCAGAACCACTCATCCGGGTACTTCGATGCTCTTGCGCTGAAAGGAAAGGAGTGGGGAAACCAAATTGATTTTCATTTTACATGCTAAAGGAGGCAGTGCGCTAATTTCTAAACAAATTGCCAATTTTTGCGCTCGACAGCGACAGAAAATGGCATTAAAACAATAAATTCGATTTTGCACAGGCGAAAGCAGGGAAGGCAAACCCAAAACAAAGCAACTCAAACAGAGACAGCCGCCCCCGCAAAAAAGCATCGCCAACTGACGCCGCCAATAAATATATCGTATCTACTTTTCGGATTCCCCCAGCGCCCACTTTCCTCAAAATGCTCGAGTATACGAATATATATATATGGGTTTATAAGGCCTTTTTTGGTTTTGGTTTTTGTTTTGGGTGCCGGCCCACTTAAGTCCTACGAAATGCTCGCCAGACACGCGAGGTCCTATCAAAACAGAAGTCGCGAAAGAGACGGAGCGACTCGCACAGAAAGAGACGGGTAGACCTCCAACGAGTATAACTTCAGATTGTTTGTTAAATTTTCGAAAGAGAGAAGAAATTTATCTGCGATCAAGCCAAGTTTTAATACCCTTTCAAAGTCGTAAAGTCGGGGAGATAATCTCAGAAATACTGCAGATGAGCTGCGAGAATGAAGGCAGAGATTATCTTACATTTATGGGGTGCTAAAAACACAGATAGCAGTAAAATACTAGAGATCTATCACTATAAGAACAATCTCCAATTTTAAAGCTTATTATGAGCAAGTTAGGCACCCAAGCGCTCTAAATAGTCAATCTGCCCGATATCATTAGCATTCCAAGCCAAACTGTGCCACAGACAACAGCAAAACAAAAGCGGGGTGAAAACCCGGGCGGAAAAGCGGAAATAAAAGGAAAGCGAGCAGTTGGGTGGGAAAACTTCCATTGTGGAAAGTCTTAAAGCCAGGCACAGGTCGTTCCCCGGGTTCTTGGCTCTTCATCGTCTCGTCTTCATCAGCGCCGCATTTCGCATTTCGCCTTTCGCCTTTTGTCGGCTTTTGTTTTTCGCCAGAGGCGGCGTTGAAAACTTGGCCAGTGCCAGGCAGAGGGGGCGTGGCACTGGGGCCGAAAAACAGGGGCGGAGGAGGGGAGGGCCGGGCACAAGTGCCTGGCCAGCGGCATAAATATGTCAAAAACACAGCGCTCCGCGTGCTGTAAACAAATTGTTTTGCTGTTGCCAAAAAATATATGAAATATTTCAGCAAAAAACGCAGTGGAAAGGGAATATTAAAAAAAATATGCCAAAGAGTTCCCGCAAAAGTACGAACCTATCGAGTAACACAACAAGCAATAGTCGAAATTCACTTAGGAAATTCTTAGGAAATTCTTATGACTAAGTTCGCGCAATTTTCCATTCAGAAATCTCTGCTTTTCTTTGGTTTAATATTTTTGCCACCCGCCAAGTGAAAATATTCGAATGAGAAAACCCCGGAGATCATCTCATAAACTGTATGTAATATTTCTTAGTTCTGCTTCGAATAACATTCGCATTTTTCCAATTTGTGCCATTCAACACGTAATTAACTCATTCCAGATCTATAACAAATAATATTAAAATGAAAACTAGAAAAATTCAGTTTCAAATTCCAGTTTTGTGCACGATATATGGCAGATAGAACGATCTGCGAAGCGAACTCCAATTAGAGAAGTTATGCAAATAGTGAAACTAAAGAGACAACTTCTGAAAGTTTGGCCAACTTTCACTCGTATGCAAAATAGGCAATGGAAATCTCAGCCTCGAAGTCAGGAAAAGCGATGGGGAAATCCCCGGAGACGTTAGCCTGCCAATTGAAAAGTCTCCTTGGTGAAAGCTCATAAATGTCGCCATCGTCTGTCATTCGACACTTATGGCTGCCTTCAGGAATCATTCATCAAATGGCTTAAGTCTTAAGCTATTTTGCATTTTCCTACGTGCCACTTGGACTTTTCCGAATCGAAGGAGACGTTGACAGAGAGCAGCACACAATCCGATTTAATTGGCTTGAACTCTTCGCTCTTTTGGGGGAATAGGCCCACAGCTGGGAGCGCAATCAATCAAAATTAATAATTTCGGGATGCTAATCAGCCGATTAATCACAGGCACTCACAGAAATGGTCTGCCATCCACCACATTTTGCAAATCATCCACAATCACTGTTCGCATTGAAATATATCTTATATCTACTTATCTATGAAAGACTTTTAAAATTAGACATTCAAAAGCAGAAACAAAACTCGTTAAAACTTATTCTATGCAAATATTGGAGTAACTCTCATTTTAGCTCCCTACTCTGATACCTTGTCTGCATTTCTAATACAACATGAGCTCCGAAAACTCGCACTAAATCAGTGTAATCGCCCCCAGATCCTCTCCTCCTGAAATATTTGCACAGCTCGCCAGGTAAATGGCATGCAAACAGTTGCGACATGCAGGATATAATGGCATATCGCCTCGGTTGTATTCGATTCAATTCGATTCAATCGATGCCGCAGACCGATGGCAATTCATTATCTTAATGGCGCTAATGGTCTGGCAAATATTGTGCCAGCAACAAAAACACACCATAAACTTTTGTGTCAGCTTCGAGCCAAAGAAAAATTAATAAAAACAAAACACATTTGATTAGCGCAGCAAAAACGCTACATGTGTAAATGGGGGAAATAGAAGTACTGTAGAACTCGCTTGGGAAAAGCTGTCCTGACTGTGGAATACCTGGTAAATACCATTTGACTGTATTGATCGACTTCTTAATACTTCAATCTAGAAACCTGAAACAATTTGCCAAAAGATATATGGTTTCTTTTAGAAATTAACGAGTGCTGGCATTATTTATTAGCACGGAATAAGGAATAGTACAAGTCAACAAATATTCTATAAAGAACATGGATATGCATGTTTACTACCACAAAAACTTTTGCTGATATATGAAAAAAGGCCCTAGATTCCCGAAAATACTGGATATATCAGCGGAGCAAAAAGAGATAGAGGGAATGTGTGTGTGAGCTTTGTTTGCCATCTCTTTTACGCCTCCTCATGCATATTCATTCATTAACCGGGCAACCGAACAGCTGCTGGCATTTGGCACCACCCCCTGGCCCGCCCACCCTTTTAGACACCCCCAGCAGCAGTTGCCCCACCCACTCCCCAATTAACCACCCGTATTTCGGCCTGTAGGTAAGTTCGCTCTAAATATAGTTAGTGGAGCCAGCACTCACGCACTAACACACGTGCAGCCAACACTTACCCACTTACTCAAAAACACAGGGCACGAGGCACTGAGAGAAAAGCTGCTTAGAAATCAATGTGACAAATATGAGATTAAACTCATAAAGAACGAGAAATTAATTTTAAATTGATTCGATCGATGTTTTATTGAACAAATTTATTTAAGCCTTTTCTTTTGCATTAAATACTACAAAATTTTTCAATTTATTATAAGTCCTTAGCTTTTCCTTCTTGCTATTAAAGAAAGAAGGATAGAAAATTTATAAATAATTCAAAACTTACTGCTGAACTGAATATTTAGGTGCTCCCCTTTTGGTCAACTGTATTTGCAGTTTTATTGTATATGCAACTAGCCTTTTTTGTGCAGTGTAGTGTATATATTTTTAGACACCGATAGATGTTTATGCTGCCATGTGCTGCCTGCTGCTTGTTGTTGTTCCCGATTTTTTGGTTATGCTGCTTTTTTGTTTACGCATCGTCATCTTTGGGCGTTTTGTATAATGTTTGCATTTCATTTAACGCGCTGAGGTGTTTTCGGCAGGAAATTTGCATTGCCAAACGAATTCATTAGCCGGGTCAAAAGGTGGGAGCCATGTACATAGGAATTCCAATGCGTGTACTATCGGAGATGAAAAGCCAAATTTTAAACTTCCTAATGAAGCAATGTCCTAACTTGAATCACACTTTTTATAGTACACATTCGTCATGGGTCTGTACATCAAAATAGGTATTTAGATTATATTAGGTAACTATGAAATAAGGTACGTAATCAGTCCGCTTGCATTCGTAAATTTTACTTCAAAGCTAATACGTTTCCACTTTGAATGTTTTACTTGGGTTTTATATGGCAAATACCAACATGTTTTGCTTCGTGGGCACTATTGTTCTATATTTTTCTAAATTGATGAAATTTCGTTTCATCTGAAAATACTCAACCAAGCATTTATTTAGACTTATTCAAAAATTCTGGCCAAGGTCTATCATCCTATCAATTAAAATATTTTGTGTGGAGCTACCGAATAGAAAGGGAATTTTTCATATCATCAAAAACTTCAATGTGTGCGCTTGAAAGAGATGGTCTAAATAACATTCATAATTAATGCAGCTAGTGCTGAAGCCACAGGAACGAGCATAAATTTGTTTGGCTTATAAATTCGTTAAAACAAACCCCAAGCCAAAAACCGAAAGCCAAAAACCAAAGCTGAAGCCGAGGGAAAACCAAACGCCGGACAGAACCCACATATTTGTTGAATGAGTTGTGGCCAGAATATGCAAGAAATATTGAGGGCAATAAAACCGGTCAAGAGCATCGTAATAAAACTCGAACAAGAAGGCATTGGACGAGGCCCAAAAGAGCGGCAGGGAGGAAAATCGGAAAATGGGAAAGTTCACTGCCAATAGCCAGCAGCTGGCTAAGCGGAAAATGATTTCCAGCAGCTAAATGGGTAACAAGATGGCAAAATGACTTACTAATTTGTGACATGATCCAAGTTAACCAAACCGAGCGAATGAATGCGACATCCTACCTGAGCCCAGGTGCTATCTCCCTTCCACATCCGCCCTCTCGCTTCCTCCGCCGTTTTGTCTCAGTTTATAGCTTTAGTCCTTTCATTGTTGATGATGTGCATTGAGCAGTGAAGAGAAGCGTCAATAAAGAGGGCAGTGCTCAACCAGGAGTTACCCCGTAGTCAGTAGTCCAAGATTTTCATACTCAGAAAAAGACATTCACTTTAGTTTTTACTGTTAAAGTAATTGATACTTTCTATATTCCCATTTGTAAAATTCATCATTTTAAATTTAAATGCTTTATTTACATTATAGGCATTGCATCTTTTAGATTTGGAGATTCTGTAGTTCTTCCTTCTTTAAGCTTCTAGAGATTTACAAAAGATGTTTGCCAAGAAACTAAATGGATTAGTGTAAGCCCTGCTGATTTTTAAAACAATTGGTAACTGCGTAACTGAGCCGTTGCCAAACCGCAAAATAGAACCAATATACTGGAGGCACCACTCCCACATTTTCCTGATCACTGGGTACATCGGCAACAAAGCAAAACAGTTTCCCTGGCCCGATTTCCCATCGTTCCTAGACGTTTTCTGTTTTGCCGTGTTTTGTTCGTCCGCTTTTCTTTCGCCCCGCCCTCCGCCTACCGTTTGCTTTGTTTATTTTAAGTCCATTATCCGTTATCCTTTATGCGTTGCGCCCAGAGCCATGTGCTCGTGTGGCCCAGAGCTCTCAGTTCCTGGCCAACTCTTGGCCCGGTGACTTTAGCCCTCTGCCATGCGGATGAGGCCCTAGTCACCAGTCACCCCCTTTGCATACTAACGGCGGTTCCAGCAAAGGACCCCCATGTCCTGTCCCGCCGGCTTATTGTTGAAATTTCATTAAAGATATGCAGCCAGCCAGCAGGTTATGGCCTTTCTGGTCATCCGGCGTACGGAACATTCCGAGGACCTCCGTGTCCTCCGTGTCCTCCGAGTCACTGGGCAATGTCAAGTGGGCAAGTGGCCATTTGGCAGGCCGCCAGGACCCGGAAACCTTCGCCTTCGACTGAAGGACTCGCCGGCACATTAAATGGAAAGGTGTCTATGAAAACTGCCTATTCGATTATTGACAATTAGGCAAATGATGGCCACATTTGCCAAAACAATTTATGGCTTTGAAATATATTCATTCATTGTTCATTTTGTGGTCCGTATTCTCCCTATTTGCCAATTTCCTGAGAAATAAACTATTTATTGAAGATGTTATTTACGCAGATAATTGAATGATTTTTTGATTACTACCTTTTCCACAATATACTCGTAACATCCTCATGCAAGTGATTATTATTTATTAAATAAGACTTCAAGTGACTGACTTTCACGCTTTCGAATAATTGATTCTATGAGCTTATGGAATTTCTCGACGAATTCATTTTCGGCATTCTCATTCCAGTTCGCTAAACTTCCACACACACACTAAGTGCACTAGGTTTTGAGTAGAATCGAAAAATTTGCGAATCGGATTCCATTCGATTGCATTTCGATGCTCTCGAATGGTGCATAAATCACGAAGTTTATGATTGTTTATATGGCCGACATAAGAGCACATTCTGGCGTATCTGACTGCATTAGTGTGTTTATATCGAAAATATTGTGTGCATTTTCATGGACAATTGCTGAGTAAACAAAAAATCGTGTTCGTTTCGATGCTCTCTTTCAATTTGTTTAATTTGGCAACCGGAGAAGCCGCAGCGAAACAATTTTTATGGAGTCAGCTGGCGAGTTTGAACCCGGAAAGGGGAAAATCTATCTAATAATCTATGGGAATTCGACAAACCAAAATGCCTAGTCATGACCAAACAAGTAATTGAGTTGAACTTGAATTTTTTATTTTAGTAACTCAGTTGACCCTGAAGTCTGTATTTTTTATTCTGTATCTCAGCAATGAAATGTGGCAAGTTCAAGGACTCTCACAGCTTTCATCTCATGTGCCACAGAATGGCCTGTGAATTAAAGCAGAAAGCAGATGGTCCACACTCTCGGATTAGAAAAAAGAAAAAAAAGCAGAACATATTGAACTGAGAGCTCAGACCCCATGGATGGGGATCGGAGATTGGGGATTCTGGATTCTGGATTCGGTTATTTTGGGACTTCGCCTTGAAGTTACCATCGAATTCGTGCGTGGACTGCAAACAAAGGAGGATTTTCCTCGTACTAATCAGGCACATTTCGAGAGTAAGGGAGTGCAATGGTCCAAGGGTCGTAGGTCAGTTGGGAGGGGCGAGAAAAACAACTCCATGAATAAATTAACACGCTCAGCAGCTGATTGGATTTGGCCTTTAAAAGATTCAGATATATGCCAGACGAATATGCAATGACTAATTAGAAATGGCCACGCGACTACATTTGCAGAAATGTAATAAATTTATCAAGATACTCACAAGGCAGGAAATACTCAGCATGGGTTACACGAACAGTGTGCAAGATTCACAAATATCCAATATCAAATTTCACAAGTGAAACAAATAATAATATGTTTCTGCAATCAGTTTTCAGATTTGGAACCTCGTTACAAACTCAAATTGTCTATGATTGAATCTTGTTATAAACTCAATTTGAAATACGAAAAATTGTATCAAAAATAAGAAATATTTTAATTGAAATATTTCTAATAGCTATTAATAATATTTTAGAAAACCCCAAGGACCCAGGAAATCCGTCGACCGTCTAGGAAATGTGCTCAAAGCTTTGTTATAATGCCATTCAGGCTAATTAGTAATATGTTCACACAAATTGGGCATAGATTAGAGGGAATTACATTCGATATGGAACTAAGTGCCAGACCGGATGCTAGAGAAAATAATTGAAATGCTACCTACAATATTTAAGCACTTTCGCAACTTTCTCAGCCCCTTTTAAGGGCTCGCTGAAGAAGGAATTTTAATTTGCGTTGAGCCATCGATTTCCTAAAACGTTTTCACATCACACCCACTTCGATTATAAATTCTTTGTAATCCACAAAGTTTTCTCTGCTGTGCCCGATAACTGAGACACCCGAGGAAAAACTTCTGAGCCCATCCTTGCCGCACAGGACATTTAGTTGCTCAAAGTTTTAGCAGAATTGGCCCACCTGCCGGCCAAAAAGCATATCTAAAGTCAGATGAGCCAGCATAAATCCTGGCTAAGACCAAGACGAGCCTACGAGATAAGAGATCTAATAGTACACGGGCCACAGGAAGTCGGGCGGTCACCGGAAGTGCGGAACTTCACCTCTGATGGGGAATAAACTTTGTGTTTAACTAATTGCTGCCTCACACCGACACACACGACCAGCTGGAAAGCACATGCAATTTTCATCTCTGACACTAAACCGCACTACCTGTCTGTGGTTGGGGGCAAATTTAGTATCTCATTACGCATACTTAATAATTTACAAAAGTATTCATATTACGCATACGCCTCGTGCAGCGGAAATGGAAATAAACCAATGGCAACGTTGCACTACGAACCGCACGAGGTGAAAGGCTACAGCTGAATAATGGAACCTACTAAAATTAACCAAACCAGAAGTTAAGTTGGGTGAAAGCTTCGGCGGTTTAGTGTCCTGCAGGTTGGGGAAAAGCCATCTCTCTGCTTCTGAACATGGCGTGTGTGTGACGTTCAACATAATTAAATAATTAAGCGCTTAGAGTAGCAGACGGCTTATGAATGAACTAAATCACAAAAGAGCAGGCGAATCGCAAAGACACCACCGGCCCACCGGTCGGCTACTTAATGTTTTGGTTTTATTAAGAGGAGCAAATCAGAATTTATTTCCTGCAATTTCGCATACATACCTTACAGGACGAAAAGTTTTCCTTCGACTTTTCCTTGCTCCGCCTGCTGATAATAACGCTGATGTTGATTAGGCTGATGATAATTTATTTGAATATTTCGTATGCATTAAAGAACAACATCTGAAGATTTTTCACATTTTCTTTTTGTTTGTTTGGTTTTCTTTATTTCGCCTTGTTTCGCTGCCAACTTCTGAACTTGAAAATGTGCGCATTTTTTAACGTCGGAATGGATGCATTCCAAATGAAATGCCCGTTTAAGGCAAAAATATTTGAAATAATTATTGTGAATTTAATTTGCTCTTTCCCTCCCTTTCAACTGCACGCGACTTTTCCTTTTATTTATTTTTCGCAACGGAAAAAGGGTCTTGGCAAAACAAACTGTGTAAAAACTTTCTGCTTTTTCCACACATGCGTGGGAAAAAAGGAATTCAATTTTAACTGATTTTTTAAAGGCTTCTACTGATTGTCCTTCGTCTGATATTGTGCAATTGTTGACAGTTCGCTTTTTATGTATTTGTTGCGCCAAAAAAGGTCTTTAAAGTGTGTAATCAGATACCACATACCGAAAATGGTAAGAATCTTAAATTGGGAACATGACTAATTAACCGTTCTGTGCTGTGATAACTTGCACTGAAAATTTTATGAAAAATAAATGGCAACACAAAATCGTTCATCTTATGAACATTTTATCAAGGGGAATTCATCTTGCTCCAATTTAATTCGTCTTAGAACTCTTCGGTTTTCTGAAATAATCTGCATGGAATTGTTTCCAGGAACAGATAAAATATGCATTTAACTTCGACACACGACAAACAATCGCTTGTGCATACGAAAAATATGTGTATCCAGGTCAAAAACATGTGATATGCCTTGCAAACTATAAGTGAATGCAGTTATTGCGATCAACAAATATGTATCTAACACCCAAGAGCAATTAGTATTGATACCGCTCAGAATTCGACTCATTCCTTACGCATTTGCAGGAGAGACCAATAAAAGTGCTGAAGTAATTGGAGAAGCCGAACTCCAAATTGCCGCGAATCGAGCAAAACAATCAAAATAATTTGTTTACTTTATTACTTTGACCCAGTGCCTCAGAACTGTATGAATTTGACGGAAAAGGGTGTTGAATCGTGTTGAGACTGACACCAAATGGCTGGCAATTTGCATACGAAATAGCAAATTGGCAAAACAAAAATTGTAGGTGGGAATTGTAGGTGAGCCAACTGCCATAGGTGAACTTACATAAGGAGGCGAGTGTACAAATAACAAATCCCAGCAAAGCGGAATGATTGAGAGGCAACAGGACACGCCATTCAGTCGTCAATAGGACATGCCCCGATATCAATCCCCCAGTCCACTGACTACCCATCAACTAAATCCCAATCAGTCAGTCGGCGAAAATCAAAGCGCAAATCAGCGCCGAGCTAAAGCCAAATTAGAAAACAGGACGAGCGGAAAAAAGTGGAAAAACAACGAGAAGTATATGGCTTTGCCCTATCAAACCTAAAACACCCTTCTAAGCTTTTTGGTTATTTGTAAACATTATAAAGTATCTTTCAAGAGCTGAAGTCAGGTTTCATAGAGCTAGTTTGCAGATAAAAACCGGAGAATATTTAATGATTAGCTTTCACTTGAACTAAGCGCGTTGTCTATCAACTTTTTATCACTATTCATGCAGCCTTAAATATACTTGGGTTTCCTCAGCACAGTTTTACTGCTCCAATGGCGATAGAAATACCCTTCTGTGTGGGTACGAAAAATAGAAATCAGTCATGGACAAATGAAGCGTCAAATTAGAAAATAATGAAAACAGAAATAAACAGCAAATCTATACAAAGTATATGAAAACACATACAATGCGGCAAATCACAACAAAAACAGAGATACTTGAGCCGGAAGCGTGCTCGCTGGCTGGCGGCACAACAATGAATCAAGGATCCCAGGACTCAAGGATGCAGCCCGTGAAGACAGCCAAGCGGCAAAGATAAACCCGCATTGAAATCGCCAAATGAATGGGAATGGCGGTGGGGGGAGTGCGATTGAAACGGGGTGGTGGGGTTACGCTGTGTTTGTGGTGGGCGGTGGGTGGTGGGTGGCGGGTTCAATGTTGCCATTGTTATTACTGCTGTAATACGCTTTGCGAGGAGATTACAATTTCTGATTACTTTGTTATTAATAAACGCAAAAAGCGTGCCAAACACACGGCCACATTCACATGGAGAACACATGATCGACACTGGATGCTATAATCGAATTTCACTACACATGGGGCTTACTGTAGTATGGAGTTGTAATGCAGTACAGCCCACTCAAATTTGCTGGGTTCAGCAGCTATACAAACTAAATAAATACATTGAAAATGATATGATATCCGTTCTGTAACTTGAAGATATACATTTCTTGGACTAAGCCTAATGGAATTTGAAATTGACGCATGCTACTGCGAGGTTTATGCTTAAAACGGCTTCCATTAAAACGGCATAATCCAGAAAAAGTTACCCCCATAAACTACCTTTCCAATCTATGGAAAAGCGTTGACAATGACATTTAGCGCCCAGCCACCCACAGCGCCACCCACACTTTTGCCACCCTAACCGCCTGTCTGCGTCGCGTTTATTTATCATTTTTTGCTTTGTTAGGCAAAACTGTTTATTAATAAACTTTTCTCTGCTGAGGCCCACAGAGCCGAACAATAAATACCAAACAACAGCAGAAACAAGAGAGGCGCTTTCGCAGGAAAAGCAAGGGAAAATGCATTTTGTGCGAAAGACAATTCAATGAAGCTAAGCCAACTAGCTGTAGTATCAGGTAACCGATCGGATGGAATTAATGGAATGACAATTGAATATTACATTGCTAAATTCCCAACTGGCATTCCCAACTTCGCACAAAGACGGCTTTAACTCTTTACACAGCAAATTTGCTGCCAAATTAATTGCATTTTAATTGCGAAAGGGAGAGTAACGTAAAGAGTTTTGTGAGTAAATTAAGTGTGTAAAATTTGTTTTCTTTCCTCTGCATTCACAAGGCATTCGGTTTGCAGCTATTTCGGTAATTAAATTTACTTTGCAATTTTAATGCGGCCCTAATTAATATTAAATTTCGATTTATTCGAGTTGTTGCGGCTCCTCAAGTTCGTCTTTATTCGCAGTGGGTACTTCGTTTATGGTAATTTTTGATTTAAATGGGCAAATGATTTGTGACGTTACATTTTTGGAGCACAAGTTGAATTTTCCATTTTGTGTATCTTAAGAAAACAAACAAACAAAAAGCAAACTAGCGTGCATTTTTTATTATTGCGTAACTTAAATAGCTTTTGTTGTTTCTGTTACATTACATTCCACATCAATGGCGCTCATTTTTTAAATTTATGTTAAATTTTTTAAAACCAATGCACACTTATGTGTTTTGCACTTTTAGTTTAAAGATAGCATACAATTTAAGTACGCAGTTTTGATTTTATGCTATTGTATGCGTTTTTAATCAGTTCGTTGACTTCTTATTTTGGAAAGTCCTCACATAAAATTTAAGAGTTGCATTTAAAAAATTTAACACAAATGTTATTTACGCTTCGCATACCATAAAAGAACTACGTTTGCATTTAAGTATGGATCATTTTGAAAAGTTTAAAGACCACTTTCAATCTATAGCACTCTTGTTTTCGGTTTCATTTGGAACTTGTCTCAAAAAGACAGTAGTACAAGTATCTGGAGATGTTTTATCCATTATCACACTTGCTGCACCGTTCCCTCACCTTTCACACACTTTCACTTTCGGCTTCACTGACCGATTTTCACATATCGGTTGGCGGAGAGAAGGTGGACTCCTCTATGGGGCATTATCTTGTATCTATGGCCCTTCAAACGCTTTTCACTGTTGCTCGGCCGAATATTTTTATCTCGCTCGCTCGCACTGTCTTCAGCCGGGCCGCATTTTCCGGTTTTTCCGATTCCGTTCCGTTCGCATTCGGCAACAACAAACCCGCAACTAAGTTGAATTTTCCTCGGCGGTCGGCTTATATACGATTTTCCCAGTCGTCGCTTCGTCGAATGTTGAATAGCCAAAGCTTCGGCAGGCTTTTCCCGCATTTTCCGCAAGCTTTTCCCGCCTTCAACACTCAACGAAACTTGGGAGATTCTTTCAACCAGATACTGTTTACAGGTGTTTGTTTTGGGCCCGATTTATTGAGGTTTATGACTACCAAAAAAATACGAAAAATGGAAGGCATGAAAACAAAACTTCGGTAGAGTGCAATGCACTTAAAGCTCTTCGGCTTGGATTTATTATTTGTTTTTGATATCTCAAGGGAAACAGCGAATGCGCAAGGAATCCACAAAATTTCAGACACTTGTTGATTCCCAATTTTATTCCAACTGCGCGTAAAAGTAGGCAAGCAATTTTTCTGTTTCCCCGCACTGAATTATTCATAAGTAAATTCGACAACGGCCAACCGCCAGAAACATAAAAATCCCATATATATTTAGGAACAGCACAAACAGCCCGCCAAACAAGAATAACATTTAAAACTTTTCAAATATTTATACGGCCAATTGGAAATTTGTTGAATTATTGAACTGGCTACAACTTGTCAGCGGAAAAGGGGCGCGCGGGTTTGCCAAGTTACAGGAAAACTTTCCTCAAGATTGGTTAATGAAAATGTATGCCAAGCGGCAACACGTAAAGAAAACAATAAAACCCTGGCACACTCGGCCGCAAATCAATTGAGAGTGGGAGCTTCGGGGGGCGGGAGGCCCAAAGGACTCCGCCGCAAGGACCTCGCAGGACTGCGACAGTATCTCACGGTGAAGAGTTTCTGGCGACGTTCCGTGCGCATTGTGAAAACATTTTTCTAATTTCCTGTCATCTATATAAATGAACTGTTCACGGCAGCAATCGGGTAGCTGCGAGGTATGAGTAGGGTTAGATGGGCATATTGGTTACGAGGGATGACGCAATACGCTGAAGTTAATACGACAATAGACATTAGACAAAAGTTAATACGAATTTTAGAATATCTCGAAATATATTATATCTTTCGAATAAGTTTACACTTCAGTGTGATATACTAAGTACTTTATAGTCGCATCCCCACTTGAGCCATTTTGCAATATCGCGTGAAGCCAGCAGAGTCGGAAAAGTATTTGTCTATGTATTTTGTAAAATTAAACAACAATTGTCGCACAGAACAGAAACAGAAATTCGTAGTGGAATGAAGTGAATGTTAGGGACTAGAAACGGAGTCGCTTCACGGAGCGATAGTGGTAGCCATCCTCCAGGAGGGCCGACGAGTCCTCCTCGCCATTGGGCAGCTCCTCCACGACGGCATTGCCGTCCAAGGGCGGCAGATACTCCTTCACGGGCAGCAGATCCGGAACCACTGCGGGAGTTCGATAGTGGTATCCATCGTCCAGGAGCACTGCGGACTCGACCTCCTTTTCGGGCTCCTCCTCCACGGCTTTCACTTCCACCTCTTCTTGCGGTTCGGTGATTATCTCCACTTCTTGCGGCTGTTCGGTGGTGATGATAACTGCCTCGGTGGTTGGCTCCGCTGTGGTGGTTTCTTCTGGAATTATTTGCTCGGTTGTGGTGGGCACCTCCTGCACCTCCTCCTGCTCCACCACAGGTGGCAAGTACTCGTTGTTCAGCGGCAGCGGAGGCAGGTAATCGCGGGGCGGGTGCAGGACATGGTTCAGGGTGGCGGCATGCTGCTCCACTGGCGGCAGGTAATCGCGACTGGGCAGCGGTGGCAGCTGCACTGGAGGCAGGTACTCCAGCGGCAGGTGGCTGACATCCCGGCGAGTCAGCGAACGACAGCTGGCCAGGCTCACGACGGCAAACAGCAGGCAAATCACCTTGACTCCTTGCTGGAAATTAAGAAAAGGCCACATGAACATTATCAACTAATACACTTTCCATTCTACATTAAATTCAATAAAAGCCTTTTCAGTTCTTTATACAATTTTACACAATAACATCTGCTAAAATATTGTGTAAAAATTGTTCCTATCTTTTATACATTAGATGCAGAATTTGTTTAAAATTTAATTCAATTTTGTATGATACGTAATAAGTGAATAAAATTTTAATGTTTAAGTTCACAAAGGAAGAGTTCTTAATTTGCAGACCAACTGTGTTTCCAGATGTGTATTTTCAATTTCTCCAACTTGTTCAAAAGTTTTGTTAGCATTCACGGGTTTTTATTAAATGTCACTTCTGCACTGGCACTTACCATCTTTCTTGTAACTTGAAGATTGCTTCACTTGCTCTGCGATCTGGATTTGACCTGCTCAATCGACTGGAGCTGCTGTTGGGTTTTGCTGCTGCTGTTGAAATAGTTTTAACTATTTATACAAAAAATTAACGGGCCGGCCAAGAGAAGTTCGATGGTCAATCGAACGCATTCGAGCCGCATTAACACATATTTGACGAAACGACGTTGGCCAAGTTAAGACGTCTTCAGACGTGTTCGAAGCTCCAGCCGGATGTTCGACGTCTTGGGCCCTGACAATGGTCATTGATCGTTAAAGATCTGAAGATTGGCGTTCGGAGATTATTATTATTATGTGTTTGCCCATTTGCCGTGCACTATTTGATTGCCAGAGAATCTGTCAATATTATCGTTAGAGATTACCCCAGCCCATTCCAAGCCTCATTCCCTTCCGCCATTCGACAAATATGATTTTTTCTATATTTATACATTCCTTAATGTGCTTGGGGGAGGGCCTTCGAAGCGTGGTTTCAATGTCGCCCTCGTAAAGGGCCAATGTCAAGTGTTTCGGGCCATTGTAACAATTACACCAACTGCAGGTCGACAATGACGGTGCTGAACAAATAGCTGAATATACCTCTTAGACCAGAATTGTGTCGGGGAAGTCACGCAGATCACAGCGGATCGATGTAATTTGTTGCTGCATCATCCGACAGCAATTAACCGACTTATCGCACTTGACCGGGGCTGCAAGATGGAAGTGGGTTCAAAACACCGAGGGCTCTTCAACCTTTTAAGCCAGCTTGAGATGAAATTGGAAACGAAACTCCCATTTGAAATCGAAAACATAGCCAAAATGAAAATGAAACTGAATCACAAAGGAAATGCATGAATGAATGCCGCATGAGAAGAGGAAAAGCCACGAGAATATATTCAATCAAATGTCATAAACCAATCGAAGCTGCCACAAATCCGTTTTATCAATAAAAATATTAGTCTACCAATCTTCAAAAAAAAGGACTGCGTGATATGCTTTCAAAAGGGATCACGAGCACCAAATACTCTATAAATTATATATACATATTTATAAAGAGTGTGACAATTGGCTAAGAATCAATAATATTTAAACCAGTAAGAACCAGTTTTTTATTTGTACCTTACATAAACATACATATTTAAAAAAAATTTATTTAGGGTAGCAAAGTGGCGACATCACTGTGTACGACTGCCCACGTAGTGACAAAGCGCAACAGGGTACACGAAAAATAAAAAAAACTGCTGTAATTGTTCAAGCATAACGAGTTATACACAAATCGAAAACGTTTAAAATTTATTAAACTTATTTTCCGAATTCAGAATTAAACCCTTGCCAAACGGTATTTTAGGGTAATGAATTGATCAAGTTATGCACTTTTGGATAAATGCGCTTATAAACCGATAAATCCCCTTTAAATATCTAAATTTTATTCGCTTATAACTTCAGAAAACCTGAGACTAAGGGCTTATGCTCCATCTCGTTGAAGAGGCATTTCCAAACGCATTCTTTTTGAAACGTAAAATATTATGTGGAGATAAATTCTGGTCATGGTATTGGGGTACACCAATATGAAAACCAGCAAACTAAACTGAACTGAACTAACAAACAAATGCCGAATGAGAAAAAGTTTTCATATTGTATTTTGCTTGTTGAGTAAAAAATCACGTTTCGTCACAAAGTTAATATCAAAACTTTTGTATGTTGCAGGTGCCACCGTCACTAGTTCCAGTTCGTGTTTTTGTTTGATGTATAATGACGGACTTTAAGAAATATTCTTGGACTGGGTGGGCAGCGGAATAATTTTTTGTGCTTCCAGAAAAAAAAAAGAGGAGGCTAAGCTTTTTATATACTCCCCAGTGTGGCAAGTAAACAAAATGAAAAAAAACGATGCGTAAAAATGCTTTCAATTTTTTTGGAACCCCCATTACGACCTGTCCAAAATCAGCTACAGCTGCAGTAAGATTTTTTTGCCAGTTCAATTCAATGTATTTTTTTAGCTGGCTAGGCAAATCGAGGATTAGTACAAATTGAAAAACTTCCCCACAGACCTAAAAAAAAGTCTAATGGTTTGGCCCCGCCAATTTTGGTTCGCCCAGTTTGCGTAACAGAAAAGCAAAATATTGAGTTAGGAATTTCAACTGAGTCACGACCACACGGTTTAATACCTTCTGGTTTATTTGCAGGCGACTTGAATTAAAATTCAGCAAAAAAGTGGTACAAAAAGTTTCGAAAACGCAGGTGTAGTTCTAGGGTGTTTGTTTTAGAAATAGTTTTAGGGGAGTATTCCGGAAAATCGGGCTTTTGTTCGAGCAGCTGCCACTTGGGGCATTTCCATGTTATTGGCCAAAAACACCAGCAGCACAAAATCCCGAGTCCAACGTGGTGAACATACATTGAACGAACCGTCAGGGAAAAACAATTCAATTTCGTCTAATGGTCCGTTCACAGAGACCCAGAATAGTGGGACAAATATTCTGAAAAAATTACAACAAGAGCTGCAATTAAGATTTCAAAAAGACGATCTTCGTTCAAGGCTAAGTTGTAAAAGAAAAACTAATTTGTATTAAGTATTTAGGTATTTAATCTTTATCTTTACTTAAAATCTGTATAAAAGCAAAATACATGCACGATAAAGTTTATGATTGACTTTCTAAATGGCGAACTAAGTTTTAATTTTATTAGTTTTTTGCCCCAATTCAACGTATCTTTTCGAGTCCCAGTAGATGGCACCTTATCCTGGCCCTTTGGTAAGTCAATTGCCCTAACCTCCTTAACTCCCCCGAAGTCTGATTGATGTTTGCCTTCTGCTGGTATAAGTGTCATTTGCATGCAAAACTTGCCGACTTCGAAGCACACATTCGCACTATGTAGTATATAGAAAACTGAACAAAATGTAATCACGCCATGAAATATGCAACAGATGTGCAGGGGAAAAGCTGGAAAAGAGGATTCATGGGGCATGGGGCATGGGGCATGGTGAAAGGGGAAGGACAATCTGCAAACAGGCAACAAATTAGAGGCAATTCACGTACCTGTCAACTTAACACATTACGCTCCAATTACGCGCCTTCGTAGAGCGAATACATACACACGCACGGGAATCGGATGAGGTCGTCCTAGTTCCGGGTTCCTCGAATATCACTTTCCGCATAATAAAATCAGTCGGAGCCCGTTGCCTGTCGCCTTAGCTTTTCCAGTTTGGCAGGATCGCAAGGGCCAATCGGCTTGGGAAATGCAATGCATACTAAGCAGTCAGGGGAAAGGACATCACTTATGCAACAGACACTGCTCTGGGAGCATCGAGTCCTGGCCCAGGACAAGCAATTCCAGGAGGTGTAAGCCGAAAAGAACATGGGAGATGACTTTTATGGCCGGAGAAAAAATTTAATTACAATTTACAGGTCGACCTCTGTCAACCCTTTTTATCAAGAAACACGCACTACAAGAAAATGGAGTCGCTGAGTGAAAACACCAAAGTGTATTTTCATGAAAACTCTAGATTCGAGCATTTCTAGGCTTTGATTTGGCTTATCCATTTTTATTAGATTTGAAAATACGATGACTTAATTGAGTAAAGAGTAAACTTCATATATACACGGACGTTTTGTCAACAAATATATAGAATATTTTTCCATGTCAAAGAGATAACCAAATTAGAATTTAAACAAGCGAAAGTCTTTAGATTGAAGCAAATGGTCCAGAATTGTCTAGATAAATGTGCCTTTTGTGTTGGCATTGAACTGACCCCGAGCTGAAACTCAATTAATTTTGAAATCCTGTTGGCAAAGCGTTGTGCCAGACTCCTTGAACTCCTTTCTCTGAGTCCTTCGGTTTTATTTATTACATTTCATTCCGTTTTGCTGTTGATTTGCCCCGATTCTCTGCCGCTTGGGTCGCATTGTCAAAGCGAATTTAATTGTCTCAATTATGCGCTAAATGTCGCCAGTTTCCAACAGCTTCCAACAAAACTCCGACCCAAATCAAGCCAAGGTCAAGCGGGCCAGTATCCTTTTTCATTGGGTTTTGCGGTGGGCTGGGCTGTGAAACCAAAGACAAGTTGGTGACAAGGCAACTTCATTGAAGCAATTTTCACCTCCTTCAGAGGCACCGAAATGAGGCGAAGCGACGGCCAAATAATCAAGTGACTTACTAAAAAGTTAACGCAATTTTGTGGCAACTTCAAAAAGTTACATCAACCCTTTTGTGGTGGCGCCTTGTCGTGGCCTAAAGGAATTTCGCGGATGCCACCACCTCCTCATCCGTCTACTTCTCTCCCTCTTCCGCGTCCTTTTCCGGTTTGTAGCCCCTGTCCCGTCATTTCCCGCCTTCACGCTCAGTTGAATGCACTTTTGTGCCTTCATTACCACGCCGCGAAAAGGACGAAAGTCCTTCAAGCCTGGGGCATTTCTCACTCAGACTGAGTTGTTGCGAAATTCCTGGGGAATCTGCTGACTAATTCTATAAGTATACTACATTTTAATTGTAATTTTATTGATTTACAGGAGGGAAAAGCGTTTGACGAACCAATTCAGTTGTATTTATAATGTGAACAGAGCGCCAAATGGTATTTATACCTATTATACCCATTTATTATTTACTACTAATGGGAGACGCTGATTGCACTTAATTAAATCCTAGCGAGGCAATTAAATTTTAGTTATCGGAAATTAGTAATGGTCCGACATCCAATTGGTTTGCGACCCTCTGTTGTATATATATTAAGCCAAGATAAACCAAAACAATTTTGAAATTTGTAATTTTTCCGCCGCACTCCCAATAGCTTAGTAACGATAAGCTATCTGATTATAGCGTTCTCTCCGGTTTGAAGCTCAGCTTTAACCCAAGACTTTAAAAACATCATCAACTTAATTTAAACTACAAAAAGCAGAGCGTGAGACCCCTTTCCAAGCAGCCAGCTCATCGGAGTAGATGACACATGGCGATCCCCAGCGCAGAAATCGCATTACACGCACTTGCCGGCGTGTAATGCGGCGTATACGTAATTTGCTTTACAGGTAATTAAAAAACAACACACGCCGCACACACCTGACGGAGCGAGCCGAATATTTTCATAATTTCACACTTAGCTGGGCAGCATTTTCGGT